TTTCTTAATTTTAATTCTTAAAAGATTACTTGTCACGGACGTCCCCCGTTACCTTCTCTACATTATTCAATATTCCTTGATTTATGTGGTGTACGAGTATCTTAGTCACATCTGCAAACGCATGCGTGTACTGCGGTTTATCCACCTCTGCCCCTGGCAGGTATCAGCTGTTGACAGTTTCATCCAATCGGGAGCTTCAACGTCACCAAAGAGACGTCACTACGGTGACGCTCAAGCTCCCGATCAGATGAAACTGTTCACAGCTGATACCCGTCTGGGGCAGATTTGGATAAATCGCAGTAAAGATGGTGCAGATTGTTGTAGCAGAAATCACATTGTGCGGAAGTATTTTTGCTTCTGCACGTAGTTAAGAGAAAAAGTATTGGAATCTGTACAATAATTCTATTCGTCCACAACACAGGCCAATCATCCATTGTTAAAATTCCCTCTTGAGAGCATCCGAGATTTTTCATGACTGTGTGTGCGCGTGTGTGTGTGTGTGTGTGCATGTGCCGCATACGTAACTGGTGCGTTCATTGAAATAAAGAAATTGATTAATTATATTCCTGTGGTTAATGTTTTAAATCGCGTACTCATAAAATTGATTTTTACTTTCTCCCTTCAGAGTAGAGAGAAAGTGATGTAATGCTGCGTGAAAAAAAACGGCGAATATTCGGCAGAAAAACTCTTATTACAGGACCCTTGTAACGAAACTTGTCACCGAAAAAGTGGATAAATTCAGTTTCTAAATTTTAAAAAAATCCTTTAAAACGTGGTGTAATCAGAAACCATGTTTTGTGGACCTCTAATGCCGAAAACCTGAATGACGGCAAAACGTCTATCCGTCCGTCTGTGACCAAGTGGTTCAGCCGATTTTCTCCAAAATTGATATTCCCCAATCTATCTGTGTGATGTCACGACCCCTTAAATTTGAACGCATATAATATACAAAATGATGTATTACTCAGATTGTATGTTTTTATACCAAAATATTATAAATTATTTTAAAGAATGGTGGTTTTTAAATCATAATGTCTAGAAAATAATACGATTACTCCTTGTCACCATTCTCTACTATGTGCAAATGAAGCATTTTTCGTGTAAATTTACATATTTTTATCTACTTTGAGTTAAATATCAAAATTCAAGTATATTGCAGCTTGATACAATAGCGATAGTCTACGAAAGAGGTAAAGAGAACGTGTACCTCTAGAAAATACGCTATTTGCTTTGGCATATCGTTCAAAATATTCTTTAACTTTCAGGAAATTTCGATTAAGGTTTTACTTCCCTGCGTATTTAAAACATTAAGGGTTTTCTATAAAAAAAATCGTTTTAGATTTTTATTCAACTAAATTTTTTAATGTTTTCCTTGAAGGAAAAGCAGTGGGTCCTAGATGTGTTATCATGTGCTCGTATTAACCGGTTTTATAGTATAAACACTACAAATATTAATGCGGTAACGGAATGCGTATCTACTGTCATTTGTTTTCAATTCTTCGTTTTGTTGTTCGAATATCCGTTGATCTATGAAAACCAGTCTCTGCATCTGATGTGAGGTTATAGTAGCGTTAGGAAGATAGCAGAAGTTTAAAGTGCGAAGATGTATAAGTGTCACTTCTGTAGTTTTCTTCTCATTCAGTTGCAGTCATGTTTAGACCAAGTTCCACGAGATTTCTTTTTATGCTTTTCACGTATGTTTATTATATTTATATCTATTCAAATTTTCCATTTTACACTTGAAAATATGAAGGCGCTTTATGCCACCGCCAAATTTTCCACTTAATATTAAGCCTAGATTAAAGGGTCCCAATGAATCGGTATCGATCCCTTAGGGATCGAGACAATTTTGAAGGAATCAGTGATAATTGAGATTGTGACTGGGAGTGCTAAATATTGCGACTCAGGGTGCTAAATATTAACCTGCGATAATCAAGGTGAAGATCCTATTGATTACAATAAAGTATTAAAATAATAATTAATTATTTTATTTTGAAAAGCTACAAAAATCTAATTAATAAATTACAAATTTTATCTTCTTCTCCATCACCGTCAGGATGCTTAGAACTCTTTAGATATAACTGGGTGTTTACAATGGTACTCTGCTTCACAAGGTAATATCCCCCACAGAGATGTAATGAGTAGTTGTTAAATAGCGCTCAACATGCACTGAACAACAATGAAGACTCTTCGTACTATTAAGATTACTTACAGAAGCTACTCGGGAGAAGAGGCGCCTCTGGAACTGGAAGTCGAGATATTTACGAAAATGTGGTGTGTGGAATTGTAACGTTTGATATTTATGTGCTATTATTTTTTATTATGATTCCGTTCTAAGCTATATTATAAAACTGTAAGGGTGTCGATGCTCGAAAATGATTGAGCATCCAGGCCAAAAATGCTCACGTACATAAATATATACGTACGAAAACACGCACATACATAACTGGCTACGTCAGAATTTCAACCCGATTTCGATCCTTACATTTTGAACGAAATCAGATACTATGCCTAGTTAAATGTACAATTTATTGAAAGCAATAAATGTGAATAGCTGGAAAATAGCATATTCGCTTGCCTATCAATTATCAGAGTACATTTTGAAGTAAGCATTTATTGAAACAAACATTAACTTTTTCTTTGGTAGATATTTCTTTGGAGAATAACTTTTTTATGCAAAATTCAATGTATACTCGTATGTCCTCCCAATTTCGTTGCCGGAATGTCACTCCTAATGGACACAATTGTCCTGAATTTGAAACTGTGTAAACAAAAGAAATGTGTTTTCCTTGTGAAGATCAAACACGTTGCAATCGCCATCCATTTACTTTAATATTTAACACCTAGTGGTGAATTTGAAAAAAGGTGATTTCAAGAAATGTGGATTTAAAGGTTTGAACGTACGATCCCTTCCACGAAAACGAACCACATTTGAATAGAAGAGTTGCGCTCTGTACCTACCTGTGCCTTTCGAATTTCTTGTCCACGTACCTGTGATAAGTCATTTTCTGTGGTGTATTGAAATTAATTTTTATAATTTTGAATAATTTCTTTATCGTTTAACGTGTATCCAAATACTTCGTCAACGTCTGCTGTTCGTTTACCGTTACGAATAAGTTTTCTATAACTCGCGAATGAAAATGCGTAGTTCTTCATATGCTGCTAATCTCACGCTTTTTAAAATTTTATTTTCATATATTTTGTTTAAAAAACCTGATTTTTTACTAAATAAATATATCTATGTAAATTCTGATTTTCTGTTTATCTGCAAAGAAAGTCATCATGTAACTCATAACAAACTACAAGTACTCGTCGCGTGGGGGCATGCCAGATGGATTGTTAAACGCTAATTGTTCTAATTTCATAGGTGTATTTGTCATGATAATCTCACCGTAATTTTTATGAGGCGCTTCTTAATAATTTTATTTTGTGCAAGGATTCGTGTCGGGAGAGAGGGGGTCTAAAACTTGTTCGGAAACTGACATTCACCAATGTGGATAGTCAGCCATGGCCATAGCCCCGCATCGTGGACGTACTTTGGGGTAAGCGACGATCGTAGTATTTCCGGTAGTGGGCGTGGTCGACAGGCCCTTGCGTTGTGTGCCAGCCGACAGCGTTCGCCTGTTTGTGAAGGCCTCGCAGAAACGTGCAGGCCGTATTCTGGTAATATTTCCTTTAGAACCCGACGAGCGGGAAATTATTCCACAAGTGAAAGAGACGTGTCGTTCTGTGAGTGTATTACGTCACGTGTTACGTTAAAATTGTCCTACACAAACGATGTGGCTCTAAAGGTTGACACTGAATTGTCAAGATTATTCAGAAGATACTTTTCATCCAATGACACTGATCGATAAGTTCTATTTTTTCCTTTATTCGGACGTGAATTACGAGGTACAATTTGTAATTGCTTGTAACTAGCCCAGCGCAGAGCCTCCAGTGGATATTTTCATGTTAAAAAGTTATATTTATGCGTTGCAATTTCAAAATAAAAGAACATTTTAAACATTTTACAGTTGCCCAGTAGTTCCATTTTCAGTTACATGAAAAAGTATCGATTAAAATACTTGATGAAACTTTGGTTTGAGTATAAAGTATGATGTAATTATCTTCAATTAGATGAGTCAAATCGAAACTATTCATATTAATTCTGGAATGAAAGAACTGTAATTCACGGCGTTTCACCTGTGTGTTCTTAGGTGCATTAAAGCCATAAAAACCTTTCTTCTAGACTTATTCCAGAATATCCTAGAGGGAACTGGCTAAGAATTGTTGCATTCGATTTGTCTTGTTGAGAGGATGGAATGAGCTCTTGATCATCCCTGTGTGTGCCGTAAGTCATTGTGAAAGCGTTTTAAGCAGCTTAAAAAAAAGGTTTTAAAATTTTTTTATATCTTTTGAGTGGATTCGCAAAAAATGATAAGTTCCCTACGAGGAGACTTAGGATGCGTCGAATGACACCGGCGGACCGGAATGGGTCTAACCGTGAATAAATATTAAACGACATTTAAAAAATCGTTTAGATATAATTTCATATTTCCTGTAAATAAAAATATTTCCGTCGTTCTCATAATAATAATAATAATAATAATAATAATAATAATAATAATAATAATAATAGTAATAATGATAATGATAATAATTTAATTTGAACTTCGATGATGAGGATATTTTGTGTTGTTGAAAATGAAGATGGGTCATTCTTTACGCGAAATTTTGCAGTCATATCCATTTAAAATGCTGTAATTGATTAATGTAAAGCTTGAGATCAGTGTCGCTTCTGAAAATTCTTGTCAGTTTTTGTTCTGTCATTATGTGTCAATGATGAACGTGGCAACGTAAGTTTCCCGTTCAGGCGGTGTTGAAGAATGTAAAGTTAAAAGAATGGCTTGTGTCCGAAAGGCGACTTCGGTCGCACGTAATGGAGTGCGCGGGGCTGAGCCCTGCAGTGGGTTACTGGTGGCGGTGGAGGGGCTGACGCGAGCCGTCTTGTGCCCCCGCAGGAAGCAGCCCAAGGCGTTCGCCTTCGACCACTGCTTCTACTCGCTGGAGCGGGAGGCCGCGCACTACGCCAGCCAGGAGGCCGTCTTCGACTGCCTCGGCCGCGACATCCTGGACAACGCCTTCCAGGGCTACAACGCCTGCATCTTCGCCTACGGCCAGACAGGTGAGTGCACCCCTACCACTCATGGCGGCCACAAGGAGGGAGTGGGGCAGAGAGAAAGCATTCAATTTAAACTTCAAGTACATTTACATGCTTATTGCCTTTAGTGGGTTGCAGATTAAAATATATTTAAATTGCATTATTAAAACTCGAAAAGCTTTCAAAATGTGCTTGTGCTGTTACTTGAACATAACATGAATTTAAATTCGTAAAAAATGTATATTTCTGCATACATTACTGTTTGAAATTATGTGTATTTGTATGCGTGAAAAGACAAAACTGGTTCCCAAAGACTGAAAATTGTTAATCTAAAAATAAAGTAATGAATTGATAGGAAATGACCAGGATCAGAAAGAAAGGATCTATTCCGCGTGTCTTAAAAATATACCCAGTATGTTCCCAAAAATTAGACCAATTGAAACGTATAATATTAGATGTCTCGGTAATGAAGATTCAATCAACCAGTTTACTTTCGTTTCTTTCGTACTATGTGCAATTTTTCTTTAGTCATTGCTCCTCACATGTACGAAAGGGCATTTAAATGAATATGTGAATCACTAATATCGCATTATCATTGGGGATCGTTTGATGAAAGTCAATTAATATTTGACTGTTATTCTGCGTCCATTATCTTCCACCTGAAACACCGTACCGATACTTCCATGAACGAGAAATGAAATGCTTTTTATGTTCCCAAAATCTCACGTGATCAACGGGTGCCACGCGTAGATATGCTTCAAGATAACTGGGCAAAGCAAAGTGTCACTCGTCTCTGCAGTTGATCAAAATAGTCTAGGATCTTAATTTTCTCATGTTGGCTGATTTTTCTGTTTAATTAAATTCTATTATTTAAAAAAATATTCGTTTTGTAAGCGAGGGACTGTAAATGAAATTATTCAGATGTGTGACGCCACGCACTCTCCAAAGGAAGCAACGGCAAAGTATGTTAATTTTTGGAGGGGAGGGAACCCTTTCCAAAGCGGATCGCAACGCAGCTCACCTGCCTCGCCTCCCCCCACTCCGTCCAGGAGCTCGTCCACGGACGTCGACAGCAGCTGGTGCTCCCAGCCTTTCGGCGCCACTCGCAACGGGATGATCAGGCGCGGCTGCATGTTGACGATTTGTTTACTTGGTGCTCCGTTTTCTGTGGGGACGTACTTCTTCGGGTGCATTGTGGAACTGCCTGGCTTGTACTTTGAGAAGTTTCCTGCATTGCTTGAAGGGAGGTTCTTCAGGAATTGGTTGATGTTGTCTTGTCTTTCACTGTCCATTTGTTGGGGAGCACTAGTATTTTGGCCGAGATAGTACACAATAACTCCTGTTTCAGTGTAGACAGTTGTTTTCTAAACGTTGTCACTGTGCCAAATCAAAGAGTTTGCATTATTGAAGAATTATAGTTTTCTCAGCTTATTCGATGACTGTTCAAGTATTGGCTGAATCAAAACCTTGTCTCTGAAAGAATGTAGGTGGCTTTGACTAAATACAACAATTTTCTTTTGTATTATTTTTTTAATAACTGTGTGGCATGCAAAGATGATTCAGTCATTTGTATTCTAAAATTAATTTTAAAAAATATCGTTGACATAATTGTCAAATAAAAAGGGTTTATTAGCATGAACCAACAAAAATAAAATATCTTCTCGTAATTGACTCTGTTAATGTTTCGGCTTGCTATGAAGTCTTAAAATAAATATAAGATTATAAATATAACGCTAGCTCCTAAACTATTTGTTGGAACTATAGGATTCAAAATGAATGGATGTAAAGAATTTGTAGGATCCAAAATTAATATTATCCGGTTGATCCCGCCCGACACGAAAATCTGAGATTTTGAGTAGAATTCATTAAAGAATGGGGTAATCCACTAAGCCTCCGGAACATTTTCTCAGAAAAGTGGCTCCACATTTTTTCTTTCAATTTCTTGCAATAATACAATGAAGTACGCTTATAAAGATGTCATAGGTCCAATTTTTCCCGTTGACTAGCTGAATTTTCGAAAATTGCTCACGTTTGCGTATTTATCAGCTGTTCCTACAACTGTAATATTGAAGATAGAAATGTTTCTACTTAAAAAATATGTTTTTCACAACCTATTTGTAATGATATGTTCATTGTTTTCGAAAGAATTAGTAGTTTTCGTGCAACTTTGAGTGCAATATGAGCAATATTAAATACATTTTGATGTATTTATTTGGTTTCCAAAAATTACAGAAATGTAATTTTTTACGTTCTTGCCCTTACAACTGAAAGAAGAGAAAGTATTGTAATTGTGCACCAGAAAACGGCGAATTTTCGATAGAAAAAAACATATTAACAGGCCCTGGTAAAGAAAAAACATGTCTATATACGAATAGTAAATTATAGTAATTTAAATATTTAGGAATAGTCAAATATTCGGGAGTTTCTAACAGATATTTTGATTTTTGAAGGTACTTTACATGAAGTACCTCAACATTTTCGAAATTTTCTAAAAAAATGGCTCAAAATTTGTTTAATGATTTTTGTCCCCGGATAGATTAAAGGTCTCATCTTTGTTCAAATCACCTATTTTTCGAAAATTGAAAAACTGCAGGTCTTTTTCTTCTCTTCTTATCTTCCTATAACTAAAATATTGAAGATGAAGATTGTTTTCCGTAATAAAATCTGTTCTTTAAAATTCTGTGAAATAAGGTGTTCAATTTTTCGAAATTGAGTAGTTTTCGTGTAATTTTGCGCGAAATACAATTTTAATTTACTTTTAAACTTTTTTTTACTTTATTACAGATTTTAATACTTTTTTTTTGTTTCTAAAACCGCACCAAATTTTGTCTTTAAATTTTTTCGTATGTAGGGAGTCAAGGGACCGGTCCAAATAAGGCACTAACCCTTCGTGTTTCCGAAAATTGCAAAAACGTTCAAAATCTACACTACCATATTCGAAACTACAAAATTGAAGATAGATGATTTTGCCTTGAAGAAAGTATGTTGTAAAAAATCGGCTCTTTAAAAAGTCTTGTACTTTTTTTTTTGACCAAAAAAAAACAAACAAAACATTTTCTCAAAAACCGCTCCAATTTTTTTTATCAAATTTTTTTCCACATGTAGAAGAAAGGCACGAGTCTCATTTTCATTTAACCTTTTGGATTTTCGAAAATTGCAACCTTAGAAATAATGGGAGAAAGTATGTACAGTTGTAGCACTTCGTTTTGAAATACCTCTCATCCCATTAATTTTGACAGCATTAGTTTTTGTTAATGCATTATTACATTTGTGAGAGCAACAACTTTAAATGATTTCTTATAATGGTTTTTGAAAATTCCTGTAAAAATGAGCTAAAAATTCCTCATTTTTAGAAACTCTCAAATGCCATTTTCTCAATAACAGCTCCTAACCTTTTCTTTAATTCTTTTGTACATATTGTGTTAAATGGACTAAATAACATGACATAAATGCCACTTTTATGACTTATTTTCTTTTTAAAAAATTTTTAAAAAATTATACAATTGTAAGTTTTTTAAATACTTTCATGCCGTTAATATTTACATTACCAGTGATTTGTATTCATTATTGTGTTTGTGAGTAAAAGTGCTTCAGATGATATCCAATGAAGTTTCTTCAAATCTTATACGTTTTTTTCTGAAAAAAAAAGCTTCAAATTTCACATTTATAGTAATGCTTAAACAACATTTTCTGAAATGCATTTATCCATTAAATCTTATAGCCAGGTCTTTAACAGTTCATTAGAACTGCATACGTGTTTGTGATGTTGAACTTAGGTGTTTGATGTTTCCTGATGCCATTTCCAATTTATGGCTGGTTATCACATCTCACTGCTACTAAGTCTTTGGGAACTTTGGATTAATATGATTTATTTATCATCAAAAACAGCAATAAAGGCTGCATGTGATGTATGGAGGAGAAGTGTAATATGCACATGTTTATTTATGCTTCAGAATCCGTACCCCCACTTCCTTACTTCACACTTACTTCACACATGAATAAATATGGTTACCAACATTTAAAAACCATAAATTGTGTTTCCAAGTAATAGAAAACTCTGTGCATCAAAAAATAAACTAAAGATTTGTTTTTATAGCCTACAACCTACAACCCTGGTCCTCCTCTTCCTGCAAGTAGAAAAAGGAGAGTTCAATAAAGTGTGTACATAGTGTCTACATTCATGTTAAGAAACAAAACAAGGAGTACTCCCTGAGTATTTTCTCAACAGATCAAAGGAAAGTGGTTGAAAAACCTGATTGAAATGGGAAATATTGAAAGACCCAGAAGCATAAATACTTGTACAATACTTGCATCAGCCTATTTAGTCTTTTAGAATTAAATGTCTTGCCCCCTTGTTTTGCTCCTGAACATAAATGGAACTTCAAATTAACTTCTCTCCATAGCACGTCATACACAGATTTTAACTGTTTTTGACATAAATAAGTAAATAAAATTAAATGTCTTGCATCAAACGTCTCTTTCAGAATTAAGTGTTTTAGAAATGTTAATAATAAATGATTTATACCAGTACTAAATATTTGTTTATTTATTTACTTATTGTTAATATCAATAAATCAATTATTTATTGATGAAAGCCGAGATATCCCCACTGAAGACTAGTAAGAGAAACCTACAAAAACTTCATATAAGTAACACTGTTATAAAAGCTGAGTTATTCAGCTCCTTAAATTTACAAATTTAATAGCTGCACCACATAATGTAGTTATTGAATTTAATGTAGTTACAAAAACATCAATATCAGATTCCATTCCATATATTCATTTTCTATACCACACTAAGGATATATTCCAATATCCTTAAAGTGAAGGTACTTCGCAAACCATTGCTGACACTTCTAAGATTTTCTGAAGACCTTGATGACTTGGTAAAAACATGACAGAAGCATATTCCAGTGTAGATCTAACAATAGTAGAACAATATTTTGAGGACTTTTAGAGGGTTAATCTTTCTTCTCTGTTACATGAGGAATACTAGTGTTTTGTTAACTTTCAGTGTAATTTCTCGATATCCAATGTAAATGACAATTGTTACCAAAAATAACTCCCAAGTCCTTGACTAAATTTACAGGTTCTAGACCTTTAGCATTAATCTTATTCTGAAAATGTATTGTATTAGACCTACTGTCAGACAATACTTTACATTTACTAGGATTAATAACTAGCTTTAAGTCAACACAGCTTTAATAAAAAATAATTATATTGCTTTGAAGATTTGCACAATCGTTTATAGAAAAAATAGGTAAATACTGTTTTATATCAACTTGAATCAGAATAAAACAGAACAGACTACTATTGATATCATTGGAAATTGTGAACAGTAAGGATCCAATATTCAAACCCTGCAGATCTCCAGATGAGGGAGAGAAAGATTCCTAATTAATGTACAATGATTTTGTGAAAACTAAGGTAATATATAAAAATAGTTATCAGCAAATCAAGTTTACTCAATGTCTTTGTCAAAACACTATAGTCGAGAGTGTCAAAATTTAAGCTAAAGTCTGTGAAAACTACATCAACTTGCCCTCTGCAGTAACTGGAAATCAATTGTGCAAATGTCATAAAATTAGTGATTGTAGATCTATCTACGATGAATGCCAGTAACTACCAAAAAACCATGATGAATGTCAGTAAAGCTGTTCATGAAATATCATATAAATGAATTTCAAGTAATTTAGAAAAGTTACATAGTAATGCTATTGGTCAAAAAATACTACAATTACCCATCTTAAAAACAGGGCAATTTTTTGCAGATTTCTATGTATTCGGATACATACTCAGTTTACAGACCTTAACAAAGATAAGGAATAACAGTAGCATAAGTGCTCTTGAACAGTAGCTCAATATATTGTTGCTGTTTTTCTTTCTGTCTTTTCCTTTCTTTTTGTAATCTCTAATTGTAAAGAAACAGAGATGTAGTAGAAAATATTTTACTTGCCTTGATTTTAATTTTACGGAGCTTGGAAAGATTTTTCTTCTAATTGTATATTACATTGGATATAAATTTGGTCAGCCATTCCTTTGTGTTGGCATCTAAGTTTTTCAACAACTTGCACAGAATGCCATTCACATCAAGAACCCTACTATTTGAAATATATAGACATTCTATATTTCCATGGTCCTCTTATTGTCCAATAAAGTCACATTTGTTCCTTCATTTTTCAAGTGGAGATTCAATGAGTAGAGTTGGTTTCTCTATTTTCCATTCTTGCTATCTGTAGTCTGAATATTTGGCACAATGACTAATGTAAATGATTGTACTTGATGTACCTTATATTGTGTGTTCTCTCAGTCTCCATCTTCACCATCCCTTCTGGGTGGAAAGTGTGTTGTTGATCTTCCTCAATTATAACATATAGCTTTTTTCCCTCTTTTCTCAAACAATAATTTTTATGAATTGATTAGTGAAATCTCTATCCTCACTACTCTTATAATGCTTCCACGGAAATATTCCTCCAACCAACTGGAAATGTAAATATTCACTAGTTCCCTTGAAGATATTTCCTCTACTTGTAAGTTGAAGTGTGACAAATTTGGGATAGTTCTCAGGTCTAAGTGAGATCCATTTGGGGATTGTTGGGCTTTCTATGACCATCTTTTGTTTGCCCATCTTGAACTGTGGGCCGATCTGGGCTCCTCAGAAATCTTTCAGGCACCTTCCTGTAGATATTGAAGGTGTTCCATTTCCTCCGTTGGTGACAAAACAGATCTGGTTAGGTCAGAGATTTCTGAGCTTTGGAGAAGAATGTTAGCCTTTCCTTATGGTCATACAACAGGATGAAAGGAAGAGCAGTTAGCCTTCTAGGAGCTTCAATTTTCCCCCCTCCTGCATTAGTCTATAAGCATTAACCATTTATCTGAATAAACCATTCAATAGGGGATAAGCTGACATATGATGATACTATTGATCAATTTACCCCTTTATCTCTCTTAGACTAATTTCCTCTTTTGAGTTCTTTTTATCCTTTCATTGTGTAAAGTATTCTGAAATCTTGAAAACAGCTGTATTTTAACCAGGAGATCCAGTTGCCATTTTGGAGCAATATTACTGCTATTCATTCTGTATATCTCAATTTTCTTGCAATGCAGTTGGGTGGTACTGTACTGGGTACTTAGATCACATTAATGCTGCCATCATATACCTCATTCAACTGTGTTTCACGACCAAGTTATGTGCTTTTAAAAGTTTTCTCTTAATGATAAATTAACATCTTTTTAAACAAACAGTGTGGAAGGAGTTTCATTTAGTAAAATTGACAATAATTTTATTGCAGGTTCTGGCAAATCGTATACCATGATGGGAAGTCAAGATAGTAAAGGTATTATTCCCCGCCTCTGTGATTCACTGTTTGACACTATAGCGAAACAACAAAGCTCGGAACTTACGTACAAAGTAGAAGTAAGTTATATGGAAATTTATAATGAAAAGGTAAGCAAATATTTATGTTAATAAATTCTTTTGTTTTGTGTGTGTTTGTGTTATTAATGACCTAGGTGTGTTAGGGCTGTGGGGATGGTCTGCATTGCGTGACAACATAATATTTAAATTTAAAACCATATTATTTTGATGTTTTCATTAAAGATTGCCGTTGTCAATTTTCATGTAACTTTATGGTTTTATAATTTAATTTCTTTTTCTAATATTGAAGCTAGTATGAAAATAGAGGCTGCATCTCCCTTAATTTAAATAAATTATCATTATTTATTGTATTACTATTAAATTAAATCATTTACTTTTCCCATAACTACATAATTATCATAAGTGTAATATAATATTAATAGATATGATAAACACACATTCATTTTCAAAAGAAACATTTATGGTCTATACAATTTTTTTTTGAAGATTTGATTAACTTAGAACTTACATTTTTTTGGCAATTTACATACCATTTTTAAAATTACTTTTGTGATTTGTAGATGCAAGTTTCTTTTTCTCCTTTCTCTCAATAACTTATCATTTAGTTTCTTCTCTTTCTTCAATACTCAGTTTATGTAACCTTTTCAATACAAATCTTTTCTTTTTCCCACCTCTCCTCTTTTCTTTGTGATACAGCAAATGGTTATCTTTTTTTCCAGGTTCATGATCTTCTGGACCCTAAAGCCAATAAGCAATCCTTGAAAGTTAGAGAACACAATGTTCTAGGTCCATATGTTGATGGTCTTTCTCAATTGGCAGTCACATCATTTCAGGTACAATATGTTTTAAAGAAAACTAAGTTATTTTGTGTGTATGTGTGTTTATGTGTGTGCATGTGCACGTACATGTGTGTGATTTGTGATGTATCAAGGGGAATCATCATCTAATGTATGATGATGAAATAATGTAAAATATGTTTAATGTTCTTTATATTTAAAATTTACTGTTTTGGAACATATCTTCTAAAATCTAACTGTTGTGTCTGATAAATTATACCAATGTACTTTTTTCCCTTATTTTTTCTAGGTATTTCGTTATTATTGTTATTTTAACTTTATTTGTGTATATAATCTGAAATTTTGTTTGATCAGGACATTGATAACTTAATGGCGGAAGGAAATAAGTCACGCACTGTTGCTGCTACAAACATGAACAGTGAGAGCTCTCGATCTCATGCAGTTTTCTCAGTTGTATTGACACAGACTTTAACTGACACGAAAAGCGGTGTATCTGGTGAAAAAGTGAGTCGGATGTCCTTAGTGGATTTGGCTGGTAGTGAACGTGCTGTGAAGACTGGTGCTGTAGGAGACAGACTGAAAGAAGGTTCCAATATCAATAAGTGAGTTTAATTCTGCTAAAAATATCACCAGGCATAGCACCATGTGTTTTGAATACTAATAATTTAATAGTTTTAACTTTACTACTTCCACTACTACTACTGATAATAATAATAATAATAATAATAATAATAATAACAATAATACCAATAATAATAATAATAATAATAATAATAATAATAATAATAATAATAATAATAATAATAATATTAATAACAAAAAATTGAAATATATGTTTTACTCTGCATTTGTAATATGAAGTTGTAGTAGTCAAAGAATTGTATTTCCTTTGTGTCAGTGTAAGAAATGGTGTTTGGCTTTATTTTACCATTCGTTTTTTAATTATTTGTTTTTTCAGTCATTCACTTTTGTTAAAAGTCTTCTTTAAAGTCAACTGTTTGATGACTATTTCGGAACTCAACGTGAGTTCAGAAGGTTATTTTGAAGTAAATGTTTAGGGAAAATGTTTGTTTCAAAGCAATTTTACTGTCCTATGTAAATGTTATTTTTAAACATTTGTTTTCTCTCCACTAACTGTATATTATATGGTACTAGATTTTTCAATATTACATGATTGATCTTCTCTCAATTCCATGTTTGTTATTGTGCAAAATGTTTTGTGATAATAGTTGATTATTCATTGTAAATTTTATAAACATGTTGTATTAATTATTATCGTGAACCTGTTGATTGTGGAATTACTAAATGATTGAGGTAAAAGTGAGTAAGTCTGGCAACAGTGCAACTATTGATTTTGTTTCACCTGTTCTGGATGGCTTTTGCATGTTCCCAGATCCTTAACAACACTTGGCTTAGTTATTTCAAAGCTCGCTGACCAAGCTTCTGGAGCTAAGAACAAGGACAAATTTGTACCGTACCGAGACTCAGTCTTGACATGGCTGCTGAAGGCAAGTTCTCTAATCATTAACAATACTGTTTAAATAGTGACAAGATTGTCCTTTTTTCTTGCTTTCACTGATGAATGAAACTCCATTTTACACATTACCTGAGATAAATGTATTAATATTTTGAGGTTTTTAGATCAGTTACATAATTTACTTTTCAAACTATTTGCAAGCAACTGCTAAATTACATTGTTTATTTTAGATTTAAAACTAATACTAAAACAAAAATATTACAACCAATTGATTTGGTTAATTTCATAATTTATATTGAAATATTATTGAATATCAAAAACTTATGAACACTAATGTGTTGATTTAGTTTATTTTGCATGATCATTTTTGAGTGTATTGGTGAGAGTTTGGCTTATCTATTACTGATATGTTCATATATTTAAAGGTTTTCTTTATGGTTGTTATGATAAATTCAATCTAATAGAATGTATCTATTTTATGTTAAGGAATATTTATTTATTCTATAACAATCAGTAATCATAAATAATTACAGGATAACCTTGGAGGCAACAGTAAAACTGTGATGGTAGCCACTATTTCACCTGCTGCTGACAATTATGAGGAAACACTGTCTACGTTGCGATATGCAGACCGGGCCAAGCGTATTGTTAACCATGCTGTTGTCAATGAAGATCCTAATGCAAGAATAATTCGAGAATTGCGTCAAGAAGTAGAAGCTTTGAAAGAAATGCTGAAGCATGCTACTGTAAGCATTACATTTATGCTTATCTCTTTGAGTTAAAGATTTGGTGTTATGTTTTTGCCTGGAATTAAATTTCAGTTGTTTTAGTCTGTATAACCTTAATAACTATTAATATTTTGACTTGTGTTGGCATTAATTCAAACAAGTTTCTGCGGTATTTTCTTGTTATAACATTGCTATAGCACATATATTAACCTAAAATTATGATTTGTTTATTATAATGATAAAATATATTAAATTTATCAGACAGTTGTATTTAATTTTTTGCTATCTCTCAGTCCTGTTTTGGAGATTTCCATCAAGTTCAAGGTGGATCTGTATTATGATAAATGTTAGGTTAAAAACAACTATATAAAGTGAGGACAAATTTTTAATAACAAATTAGTACTATTTCTATTAATAGTAATATACTATTAGAAATGTTTCTTACTATTTGCTATGTGCTTTTATGTAATGTTTATCATTATACAAATTCATCTTCTACTGAATGAAAATTCCAAATACAAGATTGTGTGAAAAATAAAATGTAATTGTTTAATATGGTACATTTTTAATATATTATATTATGATAGGTGTTTTTTTTATGTATTATTTTTTGACATCATATTTATTGATCATGATATGATTGCATGACATTTGGGGCACAAAAAAAATTGTTCACTTTCATTGGGAGAGGGAGTCAGACAAGAGATTGATAAAAAATTAACTTTCCCTCATTTTTTATAAAACAACTAATAAACGTTGACTCTATAAATATTTAATAAAGCAATTACATTTCGACTTGTAATTGTGAAAATAGCTGTCACTGCACTGAATGTTGATGATTTGCACATGCGCATTGAAAACCTGCTGTAACTAGAAAATCAGGGAATAAAAAATGAGGTATGTTGTTTTTATGATCATGTTCTATAGGTTAAAAGATATGATGCCTGATCCTGTTTCACAGTAGTTCTTTATTTTATTATTAATTTAATTGTAGTATTTGATGAGTTTTATAAAATTATCTATTAATTATACTGTGTTAACTTTAACTTACAAAGAGAAGATTCAAATTTTCAGAAAAGGTTGCGTGTTATGAAGTTACATACGTAACATGAAGTGTTATTAAGGGAGGAAGGTGATTAAAGAAAAACTAAATGACATATTTTTCTAATAACCCCTTTTTGAAATGCATTTATTGTAATCAATATCATAATAAAATGACTGTAAGTTGGTACTGGCTGTAATATTTTTCTGTACCTTAAAAAAGTTGTCAAATTTTAGAATGTAAACGGCAAAGATGAATGAAAATTCATGTTAAATTCTGAAGTCAAATTTACATAAACTTTCCTACACCTTTTCCGATTGCAAATCGCTAATATTATAGTGCAATTGAAGAGTAATTTGAAAATCTCATTTCTAATGTTGTTATCTGGGAAACGTTTGACAGTGTGTTTAGTCATTTTATTAATCTTATTGTTACAACATAACGTTATGTTAATTTTTATTCTATTAGTAGTTTTTAATTGGTTTTTCCTTGAGATATTTTCACTGAGATGTATTATTTTTTCTCAGGGATCTGATGTCTACAAGGAGGTATGTTTAAAAATTAATTTATTGTTGTCCTGGGAGCATGTTGGTTTTGCAAGTTACATACATTTGGCTCAAATTATTAATATTAAGTTTATACTAACATGCTTTTTTCATTTGAAAGGTATACATTTTCTGTTTCTCAACCTTTTTTTCATCGCATGCTTACAACTGATTCACATTTACTAAAATTACTTGATTTAAAAGTAATTGTTTTCTAAATGTTAGACTTGTAGTAAGCACAGTCATGAAGTTTGCTTTTGATAAATTTTGATATGTTTGAATGCACGAATTTGTTTTGAGGTGTTGGTGTTTGTTTGGTATTACTAATCTTCTTGCAATTTATCTCATCTTTTATTACATGGTTACACTTATGCTGATATTTCAGTTACTAGTATGCATTAATGAAGCATGTTTCAAATGGCACACCTTCACTTCTGTTGTCTGTCCTGCAGTCTAAACATTTTAAAAATAATGGTAGTGTCCTATTTAAAAACAGGAATGTGGAACTGGATAGCCTGACATAGTATGAAATTACACAGTATAAGTTTTTCCTACTACATGTGTAATTTAAATTAATACAATTAATGGATAAAAATTACAACTACGTGGGCGTTTGGTGTTAGAGGACATCACTTCTCTTATGTGTTGCTAAATTCACCATTTCTCTGCTGAGCATAGATTGCCATGAACATTTCAACCCTTCTTTAATTTTAAATCTTCGTCAATTGGCATTCTTATCATCAGCTACAGGAATGTTAAAATTGATATTCTCATTATTTTTGGAAAACATTTTGTCCTTTAGAATGTTCATTTATTGTTAAAGTAGCTTACAAACACGAAGTCAATAATTCCTACTTTATAAAACTGATAGTTTCATATTTTTAATTGTGGAAGACCATTTTACCTACATTCTAAAAATATTCCTGATATAAATTAATATTAAAACAACTTTTGCAGCAACGTGTTGACCTTCATGAAAAACTCAGTGAAAGTGAAAAACTGATGAAGGAAATGTCTCAAACATGGGAAGAAAAACTCCTGAAAACAGGTGAGAAGCAAGTCCTCAGATGATGTGCATACTTTTTATTTGAACTTGTTTTGAAACTGGAATACATTTTGTTTGATTATTTTTAATTTATGTTCATTACAACATAACTGTATGAAATTGTGTTTTGTAGAACGTCTTCAGCATGAACGACAACAAGCTCTTGAAAAAATGGGTATTAGTGTACAAGCTTCTGGTATCAAGGTAGAAAAGAATAAATATTACCTTGTTAATCTCAATGCAGATCCATCTCTTAATGAATTACTAGTCTACTATCTTAAGGTATGTGAATTAACTGCTATTGTGAAAAAAATGTTTTGCAAATCATGTAATGATGCAGTGTTTGTCAATTTATAATTGAAAGAAACTGTTACACATTCAATTAATGTGTGGCATAGTTTTCTTCTGAAGAGGAGGTGAAATTAGGAATAAAAAATTAACTAGCAGAAGCTAGAAAGAAATTAAATATGTACTACATTTTTTCTAGGATAGAACGTTAGTTGGTGGCCGTGGTGCCCCTATGGAACAGGATATTCAGCTCTCTGGTTTGGGTATCCAACCTGAACATTGTATTATCACTATAGAAGATGGAGGCCTTCTCATGGAGCCAGTTAATGGTGCTCGATCATATGTAAATGGCAATGCTGTTACTGAACGAACTCCATTACACCATGGTGATCGAATCTTGTGGGGCAATCATCACTTTTTTAGAGTCAATTGTCCCAAATCTTCAGGTATAATGAATTTTGTTCTCGTGTGATGAGAAAGATTTTTGTGGTTTGTATGTATGTAGTAGTTATTTCTTCATTGAATTTGTTTCTTTCCGTCAGCCATGTCAGAGCCACAAACTCCAGCCCAGACAATAGATTACAACTTTGCACGTGAGGAGCTTATGTTGAACGAATTGAGCAATGATCCTATTCAAACAGCAATTGCACGTTTAGAGAAACAGCATGAAGAAGATAAGCAAGGTTTGTATGATAAATTTGTGGTACTTTACTGATGGGTATCAAATTACTTCTTCATTTGGATACCAGATCTGCTTAGCTGCTTTCCATTTTTCAATTTGTTAAAAAAAATTTTTATGTGAACTTGTGAAAATTAACTTAATGTCTCAATTTCAGTGGCATTGGAGAAACAGAGGCAGGAATATGAACGTCAGTTCCAGCAACTGAGAAATATTTTATCTCCTTCCACTCCCTATTCACCATATGTGCCATATGACCCCTTCAGAGTTGGGAAGATCACTCCTTGCACACCAACAACCCAAATGAGAGTTGAACGGTGGGCCCAAGAAAGGTGAGAGAATTGGTTGATAAAATGAATCCTGGAACTTTCGCCAAACGTACTTCAGTTGTGTATCTTGGTTTGGGGCATGTTTCACATCTGTACTTCATTCTTCTATAAGATATTCCCTTTGGCATATAGTACACATATCACTCATAAGAAAGTGTAAAGTAAAACAAAAAGAAAATGTTTAAGAGAAAAAAATAATGGAATTAATACAAATAAAAAGTTAAATAAACCTGTTAAAATGGCATAGAAAAAACCAATAACAATTAAGTGATTTAATATAAGATTCTTAAGGATTTTAGAAAAGCTTGAAGAGTGCATATCAAAATAGTCAATATTATTGCAGTACTGGTTTGCTGTAGAAGCTAATCTGTTGAAATTGTCATTTATTAAATAGTATATTGGCTACATATTGTAACTTAGCATTTTGGTATCAAAGATTACTTTATTTCATCTAGGGATGAAATGTTTAAGCGAAGTTTGGGGCAGCTCAAAGCAGATATTTTACGAGCAAATGCATCAGTTAAAGAAGCAAATTTCCTTGCAGAGGAAATGAGTCGCCAAACTACTTTTAGTGTAACTCTTCAGATCCCACCAGCAAATTTAAGTCCAAATCGTAAGGTAATATATTTATTCCTTTTCCATCCTTCTGTTAAGTCAATGCAGAGCTTTTGTACTATATTAAATCCTCTTGGTATAGGTTTAATTTTTTTCTGTACATTTCCTGTTATTGCAGAAAGGAGCATTTGTCAGTGAACCTGCCATTTTAGTGAAACGCAAGGGGTTGGGAAGTCAAGTTTGGTCTATGGAAAAATTAGAAAATAAATTGATTGATATGAGAGATTTATATGAAGAGAAAAAGGAGAAAAATGTACCAATGAAGGTATAGTATTACATCGAATGTAATTATTTGAATGTAATTTTAATTCTACGGACCAGACTTTGTAGAGAACATTTGTGTTTTTTAGAAACTTTATTAGCTTTTTTTTTTTCTACTTTCTCTCCTTATTACAAACTTAAGTATTAAAGGGTAAGTGAGTTATTGTAAAGCTGCAGCAGAAATCTGCAATTTTTTAACACAAAAACTCATATATTCGGATCCAAGTAATGAATATGTGGATAAATCTTTTTCCTACATGTAGTAAATTACTTCCTCTAACACGTGTATACAGTATGCACATTTTGTGAGTCTTTGACACAGAAAAGTTGACTTACAGCAAAATATTTGCATACTGTCTGGCAATCTGTCAGTCCATCTATGGTCAATTGCTAGTCCCTAGATCGTTCAGATGGTTTTCTCCAAAATTGTTATTTACTAAATTGAATGAACTCCAGGCTTTACAAGTTTAAAATCAATATATTTTTATTTTAGGTTTTTTTTTTTGTAAGAATTCACAATGACAATCAGTCTTATTTTTATTGAAATCTCAGAATTTTTTAAAACGGCAGAAGCTTATATTTTTTCAGCATCTTCCTACAACTACAAAATTGAAGATTGAGATTTTTCTTCTTTGACGAAATATGTTCAAGGATAGATCTTGAAATAAGATCAGGAACAATTTTTCAAAAATATGAATAGTTTTCATGAAATTTTGGGTGAAATGTAGCCAATTTTTAAGTTATCTTCTCAATTTTTTCCTTGGATTTCTCCTCGTATGTAGTACATATGTTAAAAAAAGTGGTGTCAATCGCACTTTCAGTGAAGTCTGTATTTTCAAAAATTGCAAAATGTAACATTTCAAAAGTACAACATTAATAATACACATTTTTTTCTTAAATAAAAACTGTTCAAAAAAATCAGATCTTTAAAGAAGGTAATGTACAAGTTTTTGAAAAAACACAGCTTTCATGTAATTTTTGCTTGAAGTTAATGCTATTTATTTTAAAACATTTTCTCCAAACATTTCCAAAATATTTCTTTAAATTATTTTTTTAAATTTATAAAAAAAAGAGCAAAGGACTCTTTAAAAAATGACAAAGGTCTCATTTTCCTTGAACTTTTCCTTTGTTTTTTAGGAGGATGTTCCAGCAAAAGGTCAAGATCCTTTTTATGAATCACAGGAGAATCACAATCTTATTGGGGTAGCAAATATTTTCTTAGAAGTTCTGTTTCATGAAGTCAAGTTAGATTATCACACTCCAATAATAAGTCAGCAAGGAGAAGTTGCTGGAAGATTACAGGTAAAGGATTAAACAAATGTTATTCACTTAAGAATACTTCTGATACAAATAAAAATTGTGCTAGAAGAAAAAAACTTATTGTGGGATGTTTGAGTACTTCATATTTAACTGTATTTGTTTCAACTGTAACTACAAATACATTTTACTATTGTTTTGTAGGTGTACTTTATGATTACATTTACATTTTTAAAACTTGTGCAGGTTGAGCTGAGTCGTGTCAGTGGAACATTTCCTCAGGACAGAACAGCTGAAGCTGCATCAGAAAGTTCTGGTGATTCTGGTCAGGATGAAGAAGATCTCCCCAATGGCTCTGGTCAAATTATTTGCAGAGTATGTTGACAAAATTTCCCTGTGAATTTATTCAGTGTTTCAATGTATGACTTTATGGATTTCAAAGCAATTTTAAAACTTAAATAAAAATTGCAGCCCAAATTAAGGAAGAAGCTTCTGAAGAAATTTGTTTTGTTATATCTCAAATAATTTTTGTCTGGTCTATTTATACTATATTCATTACTTTCTTATGCTTTCAGGTGACAATCAAGCAAGCATCTGGCTTACCTTTGTCATTGTCTAATTTTGTTTTCTGCCAATATTCTTTCTGGAATCATCCTGACAGTATTGTTGTTCCTCCTGTTGTGGACACTGAGTATCCAGCTCCTTGTGCAACAGGGCGTGATTCTATGACCTTTAAATTTGATCATAGCAAAGACTTCTCTATTCCTATCACAGAAGAGTTCATGGAACATTGCTCAGGTGATGTGAAATAATTAATATTTTGATATTGTTGGCAAAATATTTATGATAACTGAATTATTTCAAAAAAATTCTTAAAAATTCTCAAATTTATATAATAATCCATTTCAGTGGTATTCTATAAATATTTTAATTTGTAATATTTAACAATTGAATAAATATAGAACTGACAGTAACTTGTAGAGTAGAGTGTGTGTATGCCTCTGTGAACAGCATGTACATTATATGCTATATGGTTCTTGAGATACCATATATGTTGTTTGTGAACAAAATTTATAAATCTAAAAATTGTATAAGCATCGCTGTATATTACTAAATAATTCTACCTGAATAAATTGAAAACCGAAAAAATTAACACCAGAAAAACAATATATAATGTGTGAGTTCTAAAACTTGATGTTCATTGAAGTTCATTGCAGTGCAATGTAAAACTTCCTTGACAATATAGTAAAGTTTATGATAAAGGAATGCTCTTTTTTCTTCTTAGTCTGCATCTTACAGAAGTGTGATAATATTGTATATCATTTTGTTTAATTATTTATTTTTGTATACATTATGAACAGAAATTTGTCAGGGTGGTAACATTTTCTTTTCTTTTCTTTTTTGACCCACAGAGGGAGCCTTGTCCATTGAGGTGTGGGGACACAGATGTGCTGGCTTCTCAAGATCGAAGGAAGGCTGGGAAGTGGAGCAGCAGCAGCTGGCAAAGGCTCGATCGCTTGCGGACAGGTGAGCCTTGCAAGTAGCAATAAGGCTGAGAACATTCTATTAAGAATATGGTCACATTGCGCATGTGATATCTGGCCCACATTGTATTTATAGATTTAAATATTAATTTTCAATAATTTTCCTTGTTAATTTCTTTTTTCTCCTGTAATTTATCTTAATCTATTATGAAACTTGTCTGCAAGATGCCTGGCAAGAAGTGTTGCACTCGGTCCAAGGTTAGGGAATATTCAAATTGTTTGGAAAAGCCGAGATCGTACCAGTGAGAAAGCCAAACAAAACTAGTTCTTTGGCTCACACTTGAGTATGTCCTGTGACCCCTTTTGGGGACAGACCTCTGTGTACATGATATAATTTGATATGAATTGGATCAATGCTGTCAATCACATAAGTTCAAAGACTAAAATAATGGCAATGTTTTCAACTATGCCAATCAAGGGTTTAAAGGGAAAAAGTACAGTCCACACTAATGCCAGCGTTGTTAACCGAATTGCTTAACTAAAAGAGAGAGGGGGGCGGATTGAATACTTGCTCTCGTAAGAGTATCGAGGACAAAAAAGCTCAAAATAATATTATTTTACCAAACCGTTCAAGACTTTATTGAAAACACAGATTTGAAACTTGTGCATAAAATAAACAATAAACTAATGGTGCTATAGAATGGCAAAAGAATAAAGCAAAATTACTTTTGTGTCATCTTAGTCATCAGTCGTGCATTTAGGACTATCCATTTAAAAAAGTTTTTTTAAAAACAATTGGAATTATTTTGGAGAAAATGGCATATCAGCATTTCTGAAAATGCAGAAATTTGAGCTCATTTGCACAGAAATCTTTTGACTTTTCAGAATTTTTTAAGACAATTTGGTATATATGTATGCATGTATATTATTCCAAATATATGTATGTATAAGGGAAAGTAAAAATGTAATATGCCAAATCATAAAGACAATATTGACAAATATGACAACATGAATGTGGTACATGAATTTGGATGTATAGACTGATTTGAAATATGTATGTCAAAGCAAGCAAAAAGTAAGAACTAGATTTCATGAACATAAAAACATCTGTGAGCTGCCTGAGAGACAAAATTTTATAACATAACACCGTGTTGACCATTCAGATCATATTGATTTTAAAACTGCTAACATAAGAGATATTGTACCGTAGTACCAAACCCAGGTTAATATCAGAAAGTCTTAATTTCAAAATGAGAAATATGATAAACACTGTGATTGACAACCCGTCAATGTCCAATATTTATGACAATGTTATATTTGCATTGAAATATAAGTCAATTAGAGAACAAAAAACGGTTCCCCCTCCACTACTGTTTGCTGATGTAAACATTGCCCTGGTCAGCTTACCACCATTGACAGGTGGTGCATTTGAGGTCTGAGTGCAGAAGGGAATATCTAGTGAGTATAGAGATACTCAGCCATGAATATTGAAAGGGTGGCAGTTGTTAATATTTACATGGAATCAATTAAGCAATATTAATATTGCAAATGAGTTTTTATGCATTTTATTAATATGGGTGAGTTTCCAATTGTTTATATCAGTATACTTTTGGGGAATCTTGTTTTTTATTTTTATAAATTCAATCTTAAAATTATATTTTACACGACTTTTTAAAGCTTGATGTGTTTTCAATTTTAAATTTCAAATACCTGATGATTGGTGCTATAGATGCCTAAAATGTTGTGTAAATTGTTACTTTTAATAATAGTAACTATTATTATTAACTTGATTGGCCACATTGGACCACTTGAGTCGTTCCACTTCACTTTACTGTTCATGGTCGACTGGTGACTGTCGAAGGTATCACCTTGAGGTGAGGATAAATCTCGAGTTACAATTTGAATGTTATCAGAAACGTGATAATGAGAGATGGAGGATGATGGATGATAGGGGGTGAAGGACGAACACAATACAACCATGCCCGCAGGCGGACTCGAACCCCACGATCTTTCGGTACGAAGATCGTTACCTACTATGACAGGCTCACTATGCCCTTAAGACGATCATTCGGCCAACTCGGTAATCGCAATAATATGTAGGAGTAGTAGTCATAATAATAATAATAATAATAATATAACAACAACAACAATATGCTTCATTTTTTATGTGTTAATATTTATATGACCTTCCATGACTGTTGTAAGAATAAGAAGAACAGGACAGAACTTTTATTTATAAAAGAAATATTTTTTGTTGGGGATACACTCTGTCAGTATATTGGCTTGCAAGAAATTAGTTAGCTTTTATAATTGAGATTCACTGAGCACATTTTGAACAAAACCCTGGTTATTACTATTCTCATTCTTAACAACTTACACAGGAGTTAACTATCTTCATCTATAACTATAAAAGATGAATGATCTTGGTCACTACTTTTATTTTTATTAAGATATTGTAAATGATTGTGGTTATGATATTATAAAATTATTTATTTTTACCTTTAAGATGGAGTGAACTTACTCGTAAAATTGAATTGTGGGTTGAAATTCAAGAGTTAAATGACGCTGGTGAGTATACAGCAGTTGAAGTTACTGCAAAGCCTGACCTGCTCACTGGAGGTCTATATCAGCTTCGACAAGGCCAGCAAAGACGAATACAAGCCCGAGTGAAACCTGTTCAGAATTCTGGCACATTACCAATAATCTGTCAATCTATAGTGAGCATTGCTGTTGGCAGTGTGTCTGTGAGGTAAGTCTGAGTAGATTGGCATCATTATGAAAAATATTAGAACATTCTGATGTTACAGATGTTACATTGTTAGTTTTTATAAATTTCTTTAAAACTTTTGTTTTTTCTTTATGTGAGGCAAACAGTAATTTGCATTAAGTTTTGAAAGTTACAAAAATTGCATTGCTGGTAAAAGGGTAATTGTACATTAATTGCAAACACAGGTTTTAGGATTGTAAACAGAGAGAGACATCTAAATGATATTAACAAAATGTTTCTGTTAAAGTTTTTGAAATGCAGAAAGTTTTGTATTCAAGACTATTTTGTTTAGGTTAAAGGTGTCTTTTTTAAACAATTTTAAATTGCTATACCAATTAAATTATTCTAATTGCAGTTGTATTTCAGAATCTCTACATTCTAATTGCAGTTGTATTTCAGAATCTCTACATAGAAGTAAATTTTGTTTTCTTTGAAAAATGTTTTAAAAATGGTTACTAAAATAAAAGAGAATATGACCCAAAACAATGGGATATTTGAATCTATCATTTTTATAAATTTGTGATCTATAATACCAAATTAAACTTACTTAAATACACTAACAATGAATTCTGTTGTATGAATGAATTAACAACTAGTTTTTAACAGACTTCTATTTTATTCTAATATTACTGAGAAATATGTCTGTTAAAAGCGGTCATTAATTCATTTAACTACAGATGTGAAAATACTCTTGAATTCAGGTATAACCTCATTCTATTTTCCTATTTCTCTTTTGTGTATTATAAATCTCACAATATATTATTTAAAAAGGAAGTGCAATCAACAAAATAAAATTAAGTTAGCTGTTAAACATTGCTAAAGTCTAACAGGAGTGCGTAATATAGGAATAGACTCCAGAAGCCTCTTGACTCTTATCAAGAAGAAGATCTGGCAGTATTGCGAGAGAAATGGAGTGATGCCCTGATGAGGCGGCGGCAATATTTGGATCAACAGATTCAGAAGCTCATTCACAAGCAAGACAAGACAGAACAAGATGTGGAACGAGAACAAAGCCTTGTGGATCAGTGGGTGAGTCTCACTGAGGAACGGAATGCTGTGTTGGTGCCTTCTGCTGGCTCTGGTATTCCTGGGGCTCCAGCTGACTGGGATCCGCCTCCAGGAATGGAACCTCATGTGCCCGTGCTGTTCCTAGATTTAAATGGTAAGAATCTCAGATGCAGTATGAGATCGAAAGCGCATTTTTCCTCAAAGTTTATTTGTACAGTTGATTTGTAAGAAAATAATTACCACCCTTGCATATAAAAGCTTCAGAAAATAGATTTAATATAGTTTTTCTGTTTTTATTCATCACTAATAAACAGAATTATATTCAATACATTTCAGTGTACATGTCCGTATTTGAAGATCATTTATTATTTACATAGAAATTAAACATTGAACGTTTTGAGGAAGGTACGTTATTTAAATTTTGATTATTTGCAGCGGATGATTTATCAACCACTCAGTCAGGGGATGAAGTCACTATCACTGGTCTTAATTCAATTCTTCCCAAAGAACATGGCAATAAATTTTACAACCTTCCTATAATTAAACATGAGGAAAAGGACGTTTGTGCTGTAGCAGCCTGGGATTCATCAATTCATGACAGTCATCATTTGAACAAAGTCACAGATGGTAATGTATTTGTTCAAATTATCATGTTCATAATTCTTTTGATTAGGAGAATTGAAAAAATGAATGTTTTGTTTCAGCAAATGAACGGGTTTATCTTATTTTGAAAACTACTGTTCGATTATCTCATCCTGCAACAATGGACTTAGTGCTGCGTAAGAGACTGGCTTTGAATATATATAAAAGACAAAGTATTACTGATAGAATCAGAAAAAAAATAGTTCGATCTGATTGGTTGACGCAGTCTGGTGTAACATATGAAGTTGTATCAAATATTCCTAAGGTAAATAATGTAGACCACTAAGAAAAGCTTGATGAATAGTGTAAAAAAATATCTTAATACATTTGTTAATCCCTTTTTAATTAGGCAAGTGAGGAGCTGGAAGATCGGGAATCTCTTGCTCAAATTGCTGCATCTGGAGAAGACACTTCTCTTAGTGATGGAGAAACTTATATAGGTTAGTATTTTTTGCAAAGAAATCTTGTATTAATGTTAATAATTAAATTGACATATTAAAAAATGAGGCAACATTTGAAAGTTAAATTTAATGCTATAAATATAAGAATGTGTATTTTCCTTCTTTTTACCTTAAAAAGCCTGCCTTAAAAAACAACATTCACAAAAAATGTGGGAGAGAGGCTGATTCTTCAAGAATATTTTAGAAGAGTACTACTAAAAAAGGTTTTTGAGGGTTACTAGTCACCCACAGTGCTAAAATTTTGTGAATAACTATACTACCTTTACGGCTTAACATGAATTGTTGCTACTTTATTCATCAGATTGACAATGATCAAAACTTCTATTACATTTAATTGTGTCTATTTTTCTTTTGTTCCAACAGTCCATTTTTATTTCAAAATTACACAAAAATTCAGGATATAATAAAATTTATTTTAAGTTTTTTCTGTAATGTGATGCATATCATCCACCACTGACAAAACACCCATTACCTGTTTTAGCAATCAGCGTTGAGCATTGACCTATCACAAAATGTATGATGTTCTCAGGAGAGGGAGATTTTTATCATCTTCCCTCGCACACATACACATTAATGTAATGTTTGAGAATGGAACAAAGGATAATTGATTAAACAGATTTTGGTTGGCAATATAACACATATTAAATAACTTCAAAAAAAAGTTAGTTATGTTAATAGGTTGAAATACACAATGTGTAGTTAAATACCCCCTTAACATTAATTACTTTATAATGAAGAATATTTCTGTTCTTGACACACCAATACCTTGTTAAAGTTCCAGATAAAATCAATAATTTTTGGATGGGTCAGTCTATGCTTTACCACATTCCTCAGCAATTCTTCATGCACCAGCTCCTGAGCACAAGTTGGAGAAAGAGAAATGGAGGAGCAGATTGCATAACCCCCATTCCAGGCCGTATCTCATTCCCCTCTCTCAGCTGCTGCTTCTGCTTCCCACATCTCTCATACTAATGCTGCATTTTCAATCACCATCATTTCATAGCATTTTCTCAATTCACGCATAATTTTTTATGACACAACCTACTTTATTTGGTATATATTGACCCAGAATCCTGTTCTACATATAAATTAACTTGTCAATACATTATAAACTTAATTTTCATTAGTGTTCATGTACAAACAGGTATTATACGCAAGGCGGCATAAATATTTAAAGGTCATACGCCCAAGTTTCACTTTAAAACTTGTAAAATTGTACAGATGAGCTCACATGAACATCTGAATCTCTAAGTTTGGAATCTTGAATACTGAATCTATAATCCTCAACTTGCAAATACTCAATCTGTATTTGTCTTGTTACTTATCCCTGCTGTATCGAAACCTTCATACTCTCATTAATCCTTATTAATTCCTAGTTTCTTACTGCTTTCACCCCTAGCAGTAGCTGTAGTAGGAGAAGTTCAAACAAGATGGCGTCACCCTTTTGTGCTATTGATTGTTTTAAAGTATGTCATTGCCCATCTGGTCAGTCCACTGTTGCCTTAGACCTACTATTGTGTTCCTTCAAGAGTGTTCTTATTGCCTACAAGGATTCTCTCTTGAGAGAAACCACTCTTTGTCAATGTTGTGCTTTATTTCAATTCCCAGTCTATTATCAAAGGACTCGGGTCCCTTGAGTTTAAATTATCACTTCTGTGAAGGCTGCATCATCCTGGATGGATGGCCCCACACCCCTTCCTCTACAGAGTAAGCGCATCCTCGAATCTCCAGCCATCTTCACAAAAGCTTCTAAACCTTACATTTTTAGTAATGCTACGGGGATAAAATTTCCCATACTCTGCATTCTTAGGGCTCTGGAGCTTATGTGCATCTGAAATACATAATTTTTCTGTGTTTGATCTTATATTGTAATTCTTATGATGTGCATCACATCACAATAAATATGTTTGTAGCAATTGTTTTGCTCCTCTTCACGTACCTAACATTTTGATACAATTTAAATAGTGTAAAGACATTGTACTTAAGTATTAAGGGAATATGTTTACTTGTCATTCCCTCAGTGTAAATGCCCTCAATGTAAACATGGAATATTGAATACTCAATCATATTTCAATGTAAAATATTGTATAAATTCTGTCATATGATAACTCAATTTGATCTTTACAATTATTTAGACTCAGGTGATTCATGGAACTTGGTCAAAAGAATGGGCTGATGATTTGTTTCCCAATGTTTCTTAAAATTTATTTCTATCATCAGAGCTATATGTACATAAGATTATAAGTGTATGCATTGATGATTAATGTTTATGTTTTTTAATGTTAATGCATTGATGGATAATGTTGTTTGATGTTACATATGAATAACTGATAATGGAAATTCATTTTTTGAAACCTTGGCAAACAAATAATTAGCACTCATTCTCCGGATCAACTCTCATGAACCAGCTGTCTCTTTTACAATATTTATGGTCAATAAGGATATTCAATTGTTGCTACTCTTTACACAATGAATTGTCAACATTCTTTAAGAAAATCTTTCCTTTAAATGTTAATTCATGATTGTGTAGTTGTTTTCAGGATATATCATCTGCAGATTTTTATCATACTAAAACCATCCTAGATCTCATAGAGTTGTGATAGTAACCACAGTGGATAAGGTGCCACAGAGATCATCTACTTTTAATTTGCATAAATCTTTATCAATTTGGTGTAAATCTATTTAAGCAGGAAAGAACTAAATAGCACTATTTTCTTATGTACAATATTTCTTTTCATCACTGAATCAAGACAAAGATACTAAAAAGTTAATTCTTGCCTTAAATCACTACTTGGAATGGAATTCCTCAGTCATCTCACTTCATACCATATGAAGTCAGTGCAGAGAGTGTCATGAGGATAAAGTAACAATTCTCTGCCTTCAGAAAAGTACACCAGAGGAGTCAGTGCAGTGGAGAGCATCCTGACATTGGATCGTCTGCGCCAAAGTGTTGCTGTTAAGGAACTGCTGCAGGCTCAAGGCCAAAAACCAATGCGCAAGACTGCCAGTGTGCCCAACTTCTCGCACGTGAGCAAATAGTGAATTAATTTCATGTAAAGTGAATGTGTAGAACTCTTTCTAGTCCTTATAAACCTTTAAAACTATATTAGAGCTAGACCTTATTGTTAAAGACCTTACACCTCATATGCAGAGGTATACTTTTAATTCCTTACAATTAAAATACATTGCTTCATAATTTGAACAAAATTCTTTAAATTAGTATTATGAGACAAAATTGGAACTTTGGCATCATTTCCTAATGACTGATCAGAATTGAAATTAAATCCGTAGAGTATTGTAAGAGAATTGTCATGACAATGCATTGTTTCTTTGGTAAACAATAAATAGGTATCAAATATTGTTCCAAAATCCTATTAAGAAATTTCAAAACTTTTAAATGACATTTTAAACTGACTTCTTGAATTATCAATTATTTGTGTTTCCTGGCTGTGCAGACAGTTGTGTAAGACATGGATATTGAAGACTGCCAATTTTTAAAGCTTTTGAACTGGGAATAAAAACTTACTTCAAACTTACTCTGACCTTTTTCATTATAAAAGTAACATTTAAAATGAAAAATTATTCTTTAATCATTTTCAAAAATATGTATTTAAGCATTTCAATTCAGGAGCCATTTTAAAAGTCAATTACATTTAACTGACGTGTTACCATCTCAGTTGCAGGGTTTCTAAATGAGAAAAATATAGGGAAATATAAAAAAACTTCCAGTAAAACAATTATGTGCTCATTTAAACTAGTCAATTACTATAACCAAAAGAAAATATCAGATTACTTCACTCTTTTATTTTGATTGTTTAATTACACTGTTTCAGATCATGCGTTTTGATAACAGCACCGACTCGGGTGTTAGTGGAGTTTGCCGTTCTGAGAGTGTCACTGATCTGAACATGGAGCAAAGCTCCACTCCACTGCGTGAATCTCGACGTCCGTCTATTGGCTCACCCTTTCCTCGTAGTGGAGGTGATGGAGATTCTTTGCCAACTCCTTCAAAACCATTTGGGCTAGGTAAGTTTATTATTTCCTGCTCAATTATATCATGAACATTATGAGAACTTTTTTTTTTTGAAGGTGGTTTTACCAACAAGCCAATTTTGAACTGAAGTGTTAATGACTAATGTCAGCACTTAAATTATGTAAATTATATGTTCATATAATTTACGTAAGAAATCCACCCAAAACATTTTATTGATTGTGAATATTGTATATAACCTGTGCAGGGATAAAAAGATTTATATTTCTTTGAGGTTCTATTGTCTGAAAGTGTTTTTCTTCCCTTACATAAAATGTCCACTCTTTGTATTTAATTTTTGGCAACATTAGGTGTATGTGCTGTATCTTCGTTTTTATATATATTTATATATATCTTTAAAAATCAAATTTCCTCAATATTCATTAAACTTAATATACTTTGGGGAATAATATGAAATTATACAGAGCAAGATGTTTAATTTTGTATTCCATAGACCATATCTATAGTACTGAGACATTTAAAATAAAGTGTTTATTTTTTGGGTACAGATAGGAGCTTCGTGCAGAAAAGATTTCAGAAATTAAAGCTTAAGTGTGTTCAAGAAGAATTTCTGTACGGTAGGCAATATGTGCAGGTTTTCTGTAGCTTCACAGCCTTCTTACATTTCGTATTTCTACAGAACTGCTGAGTTTTATCATTGTGGGTGTTCATGCTTGATTGATGGTTCTCTTCATTCATCTTGATATGCCATAACTGGGGAATGACCTGTGATTTAGCTTCTCATTTCTGTTCAATGTTATACTATTCTATGGAATACTGCTCAGCTTCTCTCCTTGCTGTTTTTCTGTAAATCATGTCCTGTTTTTTAACAGTACTTCTTGCAAATTATTAAATAATATTCTTATTTTGAATGGTTTTTACAATTTGGACTTTTTCAGTTTTGTTCAGTGACCTATGCTCTTCTGTGTGCCAGATGTGCAATGTATCCTGATCCAAGTGTGCTCCCCTTGTGCATGCCTTTGCCAACATATCACTGTATGTACAAGTTGCAATATTTTCTTGTTAAATGATCACAGAGGCATACTTTCTTGCTCTGCTCTGTGGAGTGTTACTTTAATTGAAGATACAGCACACTCAGTCCCTTGTGTTCATCTTCCCTGTCTTCACAATCGCAAGTCCCTCCACCTGGACGCTTGCTTTGGTCATGTTTTACCTCCTTTTTTTATGTTGCTGTCGTTTTTCACTTCTGTTCCCTGTTTATATGTAAACTTGATTATTGCTCAGTATATATTGATCCAACTTTTTGGCTGTGATTTTTCCTAGCACTGCTAATGCTCACAGGACATGTTTGTGACACTAAGACATTTCACTACATGCAATTGCATTATACATTTGCACAGATTTTCTAATTTGCTTAATAATGAATTCAGAGGTTCCTGTATATGGTGTGAAAAAAAAAAGGAATTTTAGAGCTAAAAAATGTGCATATTGTTCATTCAATTTTGCAAATTGTATACATGATATCAAAGATTTTTTGTGATTATGAATTTATATCTTTTAAAATTTGACATATGCATTTGTGTTCTTCTTTGATCTCGATATACTGACATTTTCGGGCAACTACTGAATGAATAACTGACAAATGCATGACTCCTGTTAAATATTTGACAATGTTGCCATCGGGAACCCTGAATTATAATTTTAAATATCTGGAACTGGAAATCATTAATAGAACACCATTAAAAACATATGGACACAAACAATTTGACCAGAATAAGGTAGGAAATATGACAAAAAAGCTGGCAATTCTTTTTTACTCTGACATCTTGTTTCGTTTTGTTCTGCAACCTAGGCTCCATCCTCTCAGGTAAAATGGGGCTTGTTCTCTGTTTTGCTATGACTTTCTGAACAGACCAGCTGGTATTTCTGTGCTGCACTGTTCTTCATAACACTTAATTATTTCCTTTTTTAAAAATATTTAATCATCTATTATAGCTTTGAGTAAATACATGACATTTGAACATTTTTATAATGTAGAATATCATTCAGCCAGCTGGTCTGTGATAGACCAAGTAGCTTTTGTAGTCTTGTTGAACTATATATCTGTTCTTGTTCAGTTGTGTTTTTCATTTGCTTTATTGCATGCATTTGAGCCTCATAGCTTTATTTACAAAAATTGTCTTATGTCCTGTTCAGCTTGAGGTAGGAAGGCACTTGTGATACATTCACAATATCCATATCTGTTGTTGAACATAATTAAATTGGTTCCACTGCCTATTTTGAATGCAGAAATTCAAGTCATTGCATTGCATAACTCAATATATGTTTTTTTACCCTTTTTGCCCTGTAAATAGAATGATGATATTGATATTGTGCCAAGACATCATCAGAGGTTCCCTTCTTGTAAATATTTCTCTCTCTTTCTCCCAGTGACTTTGATATCTGGGTTCTGTGTAGTAAGGAAAGATAACACTTTCCTTCAAAATAGTGTGAAACAAGAAACTTTAAAATTGAATGATTATTCTTAAATGTGATATTGTTAATTGCCCAATTTTTATTAACCTACAATAGAATTGATTTTTTTCTTAAGGAGGAGTCTTGTTTACATAAAGTGTGTTAGTATTATTTTACAGTTTTGTACCAACCAATAATTTTAAAGGCTCTTTATAAATAATATTTGTTCATGTTAGTTACAGATAATATAAAAAGTTGAATTATTTTTCTTTTGGTTTTATTAGCAAATATAGACAAGATTATATTTTGTAAATAGATCTACAAGTAAACTACAGAACAAGCCTCTTCTTTTTTGTTAGGACATTGTGTACTGGTGGGAGTCTTTGTCAGTGTAGCCTTAGTGGATGTCCAGTAGCTAGTTTAAAGTCACAGAGTTTAGAAAAAACGAGTGTCTTAACATCTCATGACTGAGAGCCAATCCGGGAATGCATGTTGACTTGCATGAGACCATTGGGCTTTTCTGGCTTCCAACTTTCAGTAATAAATGTAAAATCAAACATGTGGATTTATATTGTTGTAAAATGAGAAGGTTTGTTAGAAGTTATTTACTGAATTTTTTCAGTTGCTTTTAGTCTGGTATGAGATGCAGTTCAAAATCTCTTTAATTGTACTAAAAGTTGGAAGCCAAGCCTGATATAAAGGAAAATTTTCCCTTGAAAAAATATGTCAAGCTTGTAAGAACTTCAAGAAGACCAGAAGTTTTTAGTACTGTGTAATTACTGTAGTTTTGGAACAGTAAATTTGTTTCATTGGAATGGCATTGAAATAGGAAAGATCAATTGGCAGATACTGCATGGCACATTGGATTGGTTGTTGAGTGGTCCCATGTAATGTTACATGTGTAATTAACTGAATTTGTGTCCTGTGTATAAATGGAGATTCATTTGTCTCCAGGTGTTTGCTCTTTTCTCTCTGACTTTAAACAGAAGCAGACAGAAGAGTAAGGGAATAAATGTTTGACATTCATGATCCTTTTGCCATAGTAATATCTCAGAATGAGAAAACTACAATATATTTATTCATTCACAAGTGTTATAAATTCTCTGTTTGACATTCACTTGTGTTGGTGAAGCTGAAAATTGAGAATCATGAATTTCAAAAACACATTGTTTTGAAATGTGTATTGAGTAGGTTACAATGTGGAATGTGTGTTTAGTGTGGAATTGAAATATATTTCATTAATGAGCTTGTGATAGCAACAATACATTAGCATATATTTTCTTTGCATTTATTTTTCAAATAGTGAGGAAGTGTTGGAGTATGCATGTTAATGAATCTATTTGCAAAATTTAATATTTGTGTCTTTTCTGCTTTAATCATATTTTGAACCTTTCCAATTTTGGCTCTTATTTATGTTTAACCATATTTAAAAATGTATTTCAGTAAATTCCTGTATAAAAGATCTTGCTTCTATTGCAAGTTACTTTGAAGGGATGCGATTTTCAGTTTTCTAACAAAATATTTATTCAAATCATTATTGATCTGCCTGATCTAATGTCAGTTCATCAAGAAAAACAATGTTTCATGCTCCTTTACTCCTATACTTCCTCATCTTCACATCTAAATTATTTTAATTAATACTCTATTATTGAAAAATGTGATCCATGTTATTTTCTTGTAATTTATGTTTACATTAATTAACACAGAAATCAGTTTTGCTGCAGATGGGAAAATAACACTCTTTAAAAAGAAACCGTTTAAGTCAGTAAAAAAATATTTTTTTGTATGTTTGTGTGTGTGTGTGCGCCTGTGTTTGATTTTGAGGTAAAAATTTGGGTTCTGTTAAAAGAAATACTAATTATATTTTTCTAGTTTAGGACCAATATTTGTAAAGTGTTAAATATGTTTTTCTGTACTCAATTTTCAATTCTTGTATATGTGGAAAATGGGAATTTGTTTGCTTACTGTGTTAATGTTTTTGTTTTGTTTTTTTGTTGTTTTTTTGTTTCTGACATACAGTGCTCTTCTTTTGGGCTGACAGAGTGCCTAGGGCTTAGAAATAAAATAATTAATTTGCAATGTGAGTGCTTATGTGGTAATGCTCTTTTCAGCTCGTCCCACCTTCCTCAATCTCAACCTGAATTTGAACTCTCTTCGCCTGCAGCCAGTGGGGCCGAAACGTAGGTTTCTCCCTTCTCTTTTCTCAGCTCACTTTCAGTCTGTTTTCTCACTCTCAGTTTTGTTGTCCAGTGATTGTGATGCTTCAGTTATTTGGCTTGTTTGTAGTTCTTGGGATAAATACTTACAGATCTTCCAGCATTAAACTGATACACCTCTGCTTAGTATTCCTTTGATTTTGAGGTGGTGAGATTTCAGTCATTCGGTATTATTGCACTATCACTAATTAGTGCTTGTTTATCCTTACATTGATATTTATAGGTGCTAACTAGCTGAAACATAGCCGATGCGCCAGTATGAAGCCACATACTTGCCATTTGGTTTAAAAGCAAAACCTGTTATCAATTATTTTTATATTTTATTCAACATGTTAGTTCCACATTATTACATTGTTTTTATGAAGTTGTGTATGGGAAAGTTTTAATTTCTGTTTCCCAGTAAACCCAGAACATTGATTTAACATGTAAGGAGATACATGATATTTATTACCAATTGTAAAATTATTTGATGTTTTTCTTTTCTTTTTTTCAGTTTTGTAGTTTGAGCAGATAAATATAAGAGAAATGATATTTATTACTTTTTTGTCTGTTGCATGATTGAATTAAAATATCATCAGACATTTTTCAAGTGTGATTGCTGGAATGCATGGCTAATTTATCTTATTGCTTTGCAGTGCAGTATAAAATTACCAAGAGAGATGATTTGGATCAAACAAATCTCCTCAGTCATTGGCAATTTGTACTGAAAGTATTGGTGAAGTAGATTTGTTTTGCTTCTTTTAAGATTTATAAAGACGATTTTAAAAATATTTTTTAACTGCAGAATCAGAAGGATGCTGGTATCCTTGTAAGTGTGCATAGTTCACTTATGAATGATATTTTGTAGGGCATTGACATGTAGTACATTGAAGTGTACGCATAACACCTAGCTTGTGTTAGAGCATGTTTGGATATGTACTTGCATTGCGTATTTGTAGAATTGGGCACATCTTAAATATTTATCAACGTGTAGGTTGATTCTTATATATAGTTTATCTATTTGAATTAGTTTTATTATTTGCAAATATTTCTTTTATAACTCAGTGTTATCTGAAATATTTTATTAAGTGAAGGTAAAGGTAACAAATTAATATTAAAATTTTACACTAAATACACATGAAAACTGTTTTTCAATTTCCTTTTACTAATAGAATCTCTCATTTTTGCTGTGCTTCATAAGCACAGAGTGGAATCTTTCTCATGACATTACAGTAAAGCCATTTAATATTACAGGATATTAAAGAACTGAGCCCTAAGACGGAATCATTCTATAATATTTCATAATATCCTTTCACTCTCAGAATGCATTCTTTAAATTTATTGCTTTAAATTATTTTAAATTAAACAAGGCATTGTTCAGATGCATACTTGGATTAGTTTTTTTAAAGGATTTTAATGAATAGAAGCACAGAAAGTGCTCTATATTTTAATATAGTGGCAAATATTGGGGAGATCTTAGAGTTTTATTGAGGAATGCAGTGTTTTTAATTGTCAATTCAGTGGTTTTCTATTAGTGTTAAACGATTGTGAAAATGTGCACGTTAATGTTTCTGGTGTGATTACTCACAGTCTGGTATCACTTCTTGGTCCTTAAATGTGTGATATGCAAGAATTCTTTATCACTAAGGCCTACTCTTCTTGCTGGTAACCAGCGACAGCAACTTATTGGTTTAATACTAGTATTCAGAATGATTGTTCTCTAATTGTTCCTTTGACTCTACAGCTTCACCAAGCATTGGGAGCACCAAGTTGGGTGGCCTTCGAATGACCACTCTCCACGAGGAGCAATGCAGCAGTGGTGCTGGATCAAGCTCTGCTCTCAACATGTCACCGTTGCTTCAAGAGGATGAGGGTTGTGATGAGGAAAACGGTCCTTCAACAGAAAGAGAGCCAGCAACATCAAACAAGGCTGATGATGGATCCCACAGTGATCCGGAATACTCAGGTTTTGAGGCTTATCAGGTATGAATTCTTAATGCATCTATTGTTATTCTGTTTGAGAAAAATATGTAAGGAATTCAAAGGAAATAAGTATGTAGAGTTGTATAATCAACTTGTATTGTATTTGGTAACAGGCCTCTTGACATGCAGTTTTGGGTCATGAAAATCATTTAATGTCCTTGAAACAGGCTTGTAACCTAATCCTTGATAATGATGATTTCAGGTTATTAAGTACAAACTTAATTAATGTGAGAAGAAGGAAAAATTCTCCACATATGACCCATTTTCTCAGAAACTATTGAAGATGAAAGTGTTAGGATAGCTTTATGTAAACATGACTGAGCAACTTAACCAAAATAATAAAATAGATTGCACAATTGTTAGAATTATGGATTAATATGTCTTAATTTTTAAAATTCTGTAAAGCACTTTTATGATATCCTATTTAAAAGGTTCTGGTTAAGTAAAAACAAATAGTTACACAAAATACTGTAAACATTTCAAATTTCTAAGTAAAGACGTTTCTGAAATAGTTTTTTAAACATTTTCTTGCGTTTTACAAGAAAACTTTTGAAACAATCCACATGTCAAGATTTTTTTTGTTAAGTCTCCCTATGTTTCTTGTATATGTGTAGACTGTGCAACCAAAACCTCATCCTGTTAGTGAAACGGGTCTACCCAGTTCAAGAACATTGGATTCTCTTGCTGATTTGCAGGCACAAGCCACAAAAATGGGTACACCCAGCACCATCTCCAGGTATGTTGGTAACTGAGTTGTAATTTATTCACTTAATTTTTTTTACTCAAATACATATTCTCTTAAGCATTTGAAGTTTGCTAGTAATGAGCATGTGATATAAAGCTTAGAGAGTTTTTAAAGTTAGTTTTAAAATGTAGTCGGAATGGATTTTATATTATTTTTGTTAATGAAATGTGTTTGTTTACATTCACAGTGGTTATGGCTCACAAGCTGTATCATATACAAACTTGACAAGTGAAGATTCAATGTCTATCCGAAGCATAAGTGTAGATGAAACTCCTGATGTAGAAAATCGTCCAGCTCTTGTTATGGATCTCCATCCTGTGACAGAAGTGCCAAATACTTCAGGAGTAGAGCAAAGTGACAATATCAAACAGTTACATAATGCAGGTGTCAGATCTGGATTAGTATCTTTAAACAAAAGTAATGTTTTACCTCCAAGGGAAGTCCTGAAATTGGAACGCAAATCTGCTGTTGAGATAAATACTGAAAGGTTAGCTCATTCTCACCAAGCAGAAGTATTATCAGGAAATGCAAGAATTCCTCCAGTCACAACTGGTGATAGGAGTTCCTTGTGCTTGGATTTGAAAAATAGCCATAATGTTAGTTCTGAAATTCAAGGTCCACAGATTGATTCTGAGAGGTCTTCAGTAAATATTCACCATATGGAAAGCAGGAAAATTACTGCTTCAGAAGCAGCAGAAATGTGTCAAGTTCAAGAGCATATGCAAATTCGTAATGAACCTCCAGTGACCAAAGAAGAAGCAACTGGATTTAGAGAAAATGAAGAACAAATTAGCGACAGTAGTGCCAATGAAATTGCCTCTGGAAACGAGGTTGAACAAGTAATCCCTCCAGAAAGTGAATCTAGGAAAACTACTCGATCACCTGTCACAGGGACATCAAATTCTGGGGACGAGTCCCCTAGTGAAGGAACATCTGTGGTGCACACACGCTTACCACCTGGGAAGGTAATTTTATGAGATTTATTATATTGTAGAGATTTTCGTCAATTGTTTGGTATTTATTAACATATAATTAAATTCCAGGTACTTCTATTTCAAGGTCATGAGTATGTGTATTTCACCATTTAGTAGTATCATTTAATTGGTTTAGACTTGCTTACCTACAGTGGCAGGTTTGCCGTTGAGCTAAATAAGCTACAGCTTGGGGTCTCAGAGTCCAAGGAGCCTAAAATATTATTAAACAAAATTGCAAATTTAATTTTAAAAAAATATGAAAATGTACATATACAAATTTATAATTAGTTCCCTTAAAGAAAAAAAAAAAGAAAGAAATTTGATAAACACCTATTGGAGTTAAGAAGAGATTTTTTCTGAGATTCTGATGTCTCATAAATTTGTTTGTATGTATTCCTTTTTGAACTGATTGAGCTAATGACAAATTATGTCACAGCATTTTGATTGGCTGCTTCAAAAGTCTTTCATATGCTTGATGTTTGGTGTATTCAAGCACAAACATTGAGATATGAGTGACACGTCAAGGTTGCCTTTAGATTTTTTAAAACTTTAATGATTACAAATTGTACAGGTAAATAATTTAGTAAACTTAAAAGGGTTAAAACTAGTATCAAGCTACTATGGGGCAAGACAAACTCAATTCACTAACAATAATGTTATTACGTTATATGTTATAATGTATATATGATTATTGTTATATATGTCTGTTCGATGATCATATTATATATATATATAAATATATATATAATATATATATATAATATATATATATATAATATATATATATATATATATATATTATATATATATATATATATTTAATTTATTTTTGTCACTTGAGGTGAGGATAAATCATCGCGTTACAATTCTGAATGTTATTCAGAAAGGTGATAATGAGAGATGGAGGATGATGGATCATAGGGAGTAAAAGGACGAACACAATACAACCATACCCGAGGCGGGACTCGAACCCGCGATCTTTCGGTACGAGATCGCTACAGCACTACTTCCTTATCCACCTGGGCTTCATTGATGCTGTGCCTTGAACAGGAAGCGTGAGTGGTGCAAGAAGGAACAAAGAGAGAGAGGGGGGAAAGGATAGCAAGTGGGTTAAAAATGAGAGAGGGAGAAAAAAGAGAGAGAGGGAGAGGGTGAAAGAGAAAGCGATAGCAGGGCAATTTCTTCTGGTTTCTGCAAGTACTATACTACACTATGCTAATTACTATGAAAAGAATACAATTTTCAAAGAAAAGAGTGCAAAATGATGAAATAATATCAAAATGATAAACAATAAGCAAATGAAACTGAGAAAAAGTAAAGTAAATTACTACCCAAATTGTTTTAATTGGTGGGAAGATGGGGAAAATTGTCCACGAAAGCTTCCTTTGGGATTATATGTTTTAATAAATCTTTTAAATTGTTTGACTTTATTTGTGATTTAATTATTTGAGTTAATGTACAGAATAGTTTTAAACAAACATTACCTTGGTATTGAACATCATTGAAGTAGATTTTTTAAGATGTCTATTTAATATATAGGTATCTCAGAAATTTCTTTTCAGTTTCATAATTTAAGACAAAAGAGTTTTGCTGTTCATTTGTAAACTAAATTTCATTTTTCTTTTCATTTCATTTAGTTCCTAGATGTTTGAACCCAGATAAATAGAGACAATTAGTTTTGTTTTTTGAGGGGGGAAAATGCTGTGTCCTTTCAATTTGGAAAGTTATTCTTCAGAATTTTGCCATGTGAAATTTTTGTAGGTTGTTCGACGTCGAAAAGCAACAAAATCACCTTTGGTAACTCAACAGAGAGCTTCCTTCCCAATGGCTAGGCCTCAGGTGTCTGAAAGCAAAGCAGCTCTCAAACTGGAACAGCGACTGCAAAATGTATCGCTGGCACAGAATGGAGTTATCAGCCCTGACAGCACATCTAGTGAACGGGTAGTAAACGATGGTATGTGATATATTTGTATTTTCTGTGTACGTGTAGTGATCTAACTTTGCTTTCTTCAAGTTATTCTTGGTAGTTGCGATCATTAAGGAAGGTTTGCCTTGACCGTCTTTGCTCAAATGGTCGCAACCTTTGAGCTTGAGTCCCTTCCTCAGGCAAGGATCTTTGCTTGTGTGCTGTGGCACGGTGAAGCTCTCCCAGCTGCCCCTCATCACATTCCTACCCTCACCTCACCTCCTATCTTGCTGCAATTTCACATTTCTCACCTTCCTACCCTCATACTTCTATTTCTTGAGCAGGAGGTTAGGGCACTTGCATCCAACAATGCATTACATGCAAGAACAGACAGGACAATCCTGATAATGTTCATGATAAAACGAAGATACACATGAAAAAGAATTATAAAATTACAATATGGTATGTAGAGGAGAATAGAAAAGGGAACCGAAAAAGAATAAAACATTGTGATGTACATTTGGCTGGTATTGATTGCAAAAAGTACAGGAAACTACCAATGAGAGCAGCAGCCACTAGGATTCTTCTTGAGACAGCAGCTGAATACAACCTAGCTTCATAGCTAGTGATGAATACCCGCAACCTTTGGTACTCGAATCCTAGGCCCTCCCAGTCAGGATCACTGCAGAGTTAGCGACAATGCTTTCTATGAGCTAAACTTATCTGGTCCCTCTCATTCAAAATAGATGCTAAACTCTTATTTTATTTCAAATAGACATAAGCCAAATAAAACATGACAAGGAACATTGAAATTTTGAGTTCTTGTTGTGAAACAATTTGCCTTGAGATTCTCACAAAGGAATAAAATTCTCCTAAAAGGTCAAAATCTTAGCTCTAAATATGATTATGATTTCCCTAGTGTTGAGACTACAAAGTATTGTTTGAAAGGATAGTTATATTTGAAAAAATTTAGGTTCGACTGATCCAGTTGGTGCAGTCAGCTGTGATCACTGTAAGGCCACTTGGCTGTGAAATCTTTGTTAAAGAGTTCTTGAACCTTTCTATTTTGAAGAGAAAGTTGAAAGTTCCTTTCATTTATTCATTTCAATTACGTGTTCTTGTGTGGGCGATATAAAAAGAGTGAAACAGAAGTTGATGGAAATGTTGACCTTTTCTTTTCAGAAGAAACTGAAAGCAGTAGTACGTTTGGATCTAGGCGAGACCTGAATCGGCTGACTGACGTCCCTCCTCCAGAATGGGTTGTAACTGGTGAGAGTGTTTTGATTCGGCCATACAATTCATCAGGTGTCATTGCATATGTAGGTCCTACTGAATTTGCCTCTGGCACATGGGTCGGAGTTGAGTTGGATGCTCCAACAGGTAAATTCATCAGAAAATATTTGTTGGATGCTTGGTTCATTGATCTACAAGATTCATTTATTAAGTGTGACAATGAATTTCAGGACATTTATATTATCTATAGTTGTTATCTGCAACTTTATTTGACAACTGTTAATAATAACTTACTTATTACTAATAGTGCATTCTGAAATATAAACAAAAAAAATCAAATATTGTCTATTTTATTTCAATGAATTGATGACTGTTCTATTCCTTGTCTGCAGGCAAGAATGATGGTACTGTTCAAGGAGTGCAATATTTCAGCTGTCGGCCTAAATGTGGCATATTTGTCCGAGCAGACAAGTTGATACAAGACAGGCGAGGTCGTGCTATGAGAACAGGGAGTCGTTCATCAGATGCAAATTCCACGGGCACTATGAAGAGAAGTGGCAGTAGAGGTAAATTTGTGCATAATTTCATTTAATTATTTGAAGATCATATTGGTTTGTTTTATGTTCAAATTTTCCTTTTACATATCAGTCAAACATTACCACTCAGACTCTGATCATAAATGATGTCAATGATCATATTAATCAAGTAATCAACTATGCTCTCATGGATCAGTGGCGAAGTCGTTTGCCTTTCACTACTGAGGTTCCCGGTTTGATTCCCGTAGAACCTCATATGAAATTTGTTGCGACAAAACGAATTTTCATTTTTCACAAGGGCTGGTTCAACCCCTGTGAAGTGTCCTAAACCCTATACCAATCCCAATTCCTTCCCAATTCTGGCCGCTGATTGCGAAAGCAGGGGCGCGTATTCAGAGATGCTACTTGGAGGTCCTCGTGACAACTGACTGCGACGAGACGTGACGGATATGACATACTGAAATATTAGTTGAGGATTACTTCAAAAGCGCTCAACGACCCCGAGGCTTGGAGACTTATTGCGTCATTTCAAGTGGGGGGGAGGGAGTAGTGATACAAAATGGTACAGAATTTCTCATACCAGTTAGTTGCCATTTCATTTATTCTTGGCTAGATTTTTTGGTTTTGCCCCTCTGCTTTCTCATCTGCCATCAATTACTGCTTGTCCAGGGGCAGTTCTCTGTACAGGCGTCCCTCCTTGCCCCAAACTTCACAACAAAACAAACCATCCGCCACATATGCCTGTGGCCCATCTAGGTGCTTGTACTATTGGTCTGGATATAGGAATATTATATATTTACGAACACATTTCACAAGTTACTAATAAGGCCAAGAGATTAAGGAATTGACGTGATTGACGCAAGAGACGGGACACTTCCCCTTTTGTTTTTGTTTGTACTTTTCGGAATATTTGAAGGGATGTGCAACAAACTTGGTAAAAACAAGTTGCGAGTTGTCACGGTGTGTGATGCAAGGAAACATCAAATAGCTGAAAAACAAACTACACCTGAAATTAAAAGAAGGAGGAGAAAGGTGAAAGAAGACAAGGAAACCAAAGTTGAAGTTTTAACATTACATCCTGGGGCATATTAGAGGTAGAGGTATAATCTGGTTTTCGCTAAACTTTAATGCGTAATAACAACTCGTAATTATATTTGCTTTCCTATTTTCAGCATCCACCACGAATTTGTCGGACAATTGAGACCGATATTTTTGTATGAGCCGGTAAAGAGAATCTCAAACGAATGTTTTGATAAAAAAATTACGTAATTTTTCTTTTCTTTTGGGCCATTTTAAATAACTTTGAGAGTATTTTATTGATCGTTTCTGGCTATGTCCGGCCCTAGTTATATTTCTCCATCCTAAGTATATTTATAAATGCCCGACTGCGAGTCGAATGTGATCCGTAGGGCTGTGATTTCTATGCGTCTGCATATTTTTTGTTAACTAAAACATCCCGTTTCAACAAAATTGTACAGGTATTGAGGCATGTAGAATCGATTTAATTTATTATTTCGCATACTTTCTCATATATCACCATAATTGCATAATTGAGCCATATTTGCATATTTGTGTTGCATATTCACCCCTTATCTGCGAAAAGAAGCCCAAAAGTTACAGTTGTGTCAGCAGGTAAGCGGCTTTGAGTGTTCTCTCGCCACTTGCCTTGATTCATCATGTGGTCTGCTCTGAAGCAATGGGCTTGCGAGGATGTTTCCGTTGCTATAGCTTCGGGTCAGCGTTGCCGCTCGCCTGACACGTACGAAGTCACTCGAGAAGCACGCTAAGACCTGTCAACGGCAGTCGAAATGACATGTGCATCCGCCCCGAGCGCCTATGCATGTCTTCACACGGCGCAATGGAGTCAGGCCTGTAAATTTGTAGTGAACTGAGAAGTCATATTTTTGTTACAATACGTTTTTTTTTTTTTTTTTTTTTTTTTTTTTTTTTTTTTTTTTTTTTTTTTTTTTTTTTTTTTTTTGTGCAGTGCCCATTAACTACTTCTCTCATTACTAACCTTTGACTTAATGTTTGTCGCTTGTGACAATTTATGAGATTTCTGTATCTTTTTTGCTGTAAACATATTTTCCACATTACACTTTTTTTTAACTTACACATTATATTACACTATTTCGCCTATTTCCCTTTATTTAATTGCATATATTACCAAATATATTTACATATATATGCATATATATATGTGCATACTTTGCTGTTTTTATTGCATATAAATCAAAGCCCTAGAGATAGTTTTTTTATTCAAAATGTTTTGGTCGAAAATGTCATATTACAGATAATGTAGAATGACGCAGGCTAAACTCAGCTCATGCTGCGATATGATTTTATTCGCTTTAAAGATTACACAGGCACACAGAAAACGTTTTCAGGCCCAAAGACTTGACAGATGTTTCTCTATATATTTATTCCAACACGCTGAATCTGAAGCCAGAATTAAGTCATCACCCTCACGTTTTTAAATCAAAATAACCATCGTGACATTTTCCCCCCGGTGATTGTTGTCAGACCCAAAGGCTTGACACGTGGTTCTCTGTTGACGCGCTGAACCCGAACGTGGAGCCAGAATTGCGCCACCACCTCCAGTTCCTTTTAAAGCGCCTGAAACACCTTGAAATTTACAATTTGAAAAGTATGATTTCACAGTGTTTTTTGCGAAAAACTAGAGGCTAGTGGTATAATTCTCGCTTCAGATTCGGAATGAGCGACATACATAGAGAAAGCCAAGTGTCTGAGCCTGACAACTCCCCGGAAAAAAAAGAAGTACATGTTCCCGGTGTTTTTTTGCGAAAAAAAAAGGAAGGTGATGGAGCAATTTTGGCTTCAGATTCGGATTAAGCGCGTCGAAATGCCTAGAGAAACAAGTGTCAAATAGTTGGATCTGACAACAATCCCCGAGATCAAAAAAATACAATACCACAATTTTTTGAGATTTAAAAAGAATGGGGAGTGATGACGTAGTACTGGCTTCAGATTCGAATTCATTGCATTGAAATAAACAGAAAAACATGTGTCAAGTCTTTGAGTCTGATAACTTCCCCCCTCCTCCTGTGGACCTGCACCTGATTTATTTAACAGTCAGTGTGTGTGTGCTGTATTAAGAGATAATTGTTGTTGAGATGCTTTGCTTAATGCTTAATGATGCTTTGGATTTATGTGCTGGCATAGTTGGTTCTCTCCATTATTTTATTTGTTTCATAACCTGTGTTCTTATCTAAGACACAATTCAGAGAGTAAAGGACATTTACCTGTATGCCTTGAAGAAAGACTATTATGAAATGAATAAGTATTAGAATCTGTTATTAGAAAGCTAAATTTCACCAACAGTTGAAAATATTATCTCAAATGTATGTTTTAAATATTATATAATTTCCATATTACTTGAAGTATGACATGATGAGATGTGTGCATTACGTGACTTTATCATGAGATCACAATACGTTCCAGGTGAGGGACTGTCTACATTACATCGTTCCCGCAGCCGAGGTGAGGGCCTGAGCACTGTTGGAGCCCGTTCTACTCCTCGCAGCAAGTAGAACAGCCTGCTTGAGGAAGCATCAAGGCCCTGCGCACAGCCCCTGTCCTGGGAGAAGCCTCCCGCCTCCCAAGTGGGCTGAGTCCCACCCATCCCGTCCCAAGCCGCCCCCTCCGTGCGCGGACAGCACAGGTTCAGCACTTCATTGCTGCTCGTTGAGTACGTTTAGTTCCATGTGACTACCTTCTGATAGGTTGGTTGTTATTTTTAATGAAAATATGTATTTCTTCTTTAAAGAAGAATACTATTATGTGTATAAATATGGTAAAATGAACATGTTTCAGGTCAAATCTTCTGTGATGATTTCTTAATTTATTTGAGTACCTTTAATTTTTGTAATATTTTAAGTAGGGTAATTATTTTTTTGTTTGTTTTTTGTTAAGAGATATTTTCCCTCTTGATTATGGCTGAAGGCTGATCATGCATATGTCTGGCATTGCCTGTGTACACTTTCAAATTCTTCATGGCTGGTATCTCCCTGATCCCCAGACAATGCAATTACCTGTAATGTAGCAGATAGTTTTCATTTCTGCTCAAGCCGGAAGAAACCGGGGTGGAACATCCTCTATTTGCTGTTTGCAACATTTTTCCCTCCATTTGTAAACGAGATGTGCAGCTTGAAAGGAAATAATTGTTGATTTATGTTTTGCCTGTTGTTGACATTTTATATTGTGTTAAGTTGAATAAGATGACACAGATGCAGTGAGAATTTGTTTTACTTGTGTGTGGAGAATGGCAATGTAGGTAGGTGCAAGGACAATTTACAACATTACTTTTTTTTTATACCAGCATTCCTCACGAAACATACATTGAGTTTCCTCCAGTATTAACTGTGAAAGTAACTACATGTACATTGTAAGGCATTCTCTTGGAATGTCATTTACCCATAGTATAATGACAAAAAAGAAAACTGTTGTGTGGTCTTTATTTTATTTTGCAATCATACATAAATCAAAAACCAATATTTTCAAATAGCAATATAGGAGATATCTTTGAAGTGGTGTGCATTTTAAATAAGTGAACTGTGTGACTGATAAGATTTTCATCTATTTGTGCAGTTTCTGAGCACTTAAAATGAATTAAGTCATTTTGTAATAAATAATAGTGTAAAAATATTCATTTTCTGTGCACAGGATTGTGATAAGACTTTTCTGAAGAGCGGTTCTGTGGGGATTGTAGAAGGCTCATTTTCTTAGCATGAAATTGTATAATAAGGTTATAAGCATCGAAAGTAGGTGTGAGCAAGAGATATTCTTTTCAGAGGGCTTAAAGAATAAAGTATACAGAAACGTGATTTTCACCTGTGCAATATTGAAATTCTGATACATAATTAATCATATTGTAATCTAATCAAGATATTATAACCTTTAGAATATTGTTTCTTCCTTCACTCTGTTACCATTTTATCTATTATACATTAACTTGAACGACATAAGATATTGCATGAACCAAAAGAAAATATTGTTTTCCTCCAGTACACATAAGTTGAAATTTATTATTATCTATTGTATAAACATTCATACCTCACTTAAAACTTCTTTGTAAACATTTATGATATTTGAATGACGTTAATAATTGTAGTAGAGAAAGTTAAACTATTGTTTTGTATGCATGAATTTTATGAAATGTATTGATGCTTATAGCCTTGTGATATTGGGATCCGTGTTGGATTGAATGATTGAGAAAGTTGAAGGAGAGAGATACTAAAGAACCATCTGTAGTGTTAAATTCCATATCCTAGGCTGATTATCAAAAAGTTTTACTTTTCTAATAATGACACAAGCGTAGAATGCAGACATTTATACCCATTTTGTGAAATTTCCAAAACACTGAGTGTTCCTAGATTGCTTTCTTAAATATGTCAGATAATGCAGCACACAAATCTCATACCAAAATATCTTAATAGAGCTATATGTTAGATTTCAGAAAATTTCCTCCCTTTTCTGTTTTGCGCATTTCCATTTTGACTTTGGCCAATTTGCCTCTGTGTACTGGTAAATCTCCTGACTGTATCTTTGAATAGTCCACAGCAACTGAAAACCAGAACTCACATCCTTAGCTAACAAGTACTAATTGATTGATATTTTACAATTAGATGAATCAATTTTTTTTTATTATCATTCAGAAGTTCTTCTGTTTTCCCTCTATCATTAACACATTTTTATGTAAGATTTTCATTTGAATGGTAGTTAATAATAACAGTTTAGTATATTTACAAACCTACATACTTGTTTATGAATATGAGAAAGCTTACCTACTTCATCAGATGCTTTACAATGGACAATTGAGGAGGCATGCAAGAAAGACAGTGGGGTTTTTCATCAACTGGCCTTGTAGAAAGATTGTACTTAAATAAATATCCTTTTTGAAGAGTTACTGTTTTAATTCAGAGAATGACTGTATAGTAATATTTTATGAAGCATTTGAGAAAAATGTCTTGAATAAAATAGTTCTATCAAACTATTATCATGCCTTTATTTAATTTTTTTAGGCTAATTAAGAGAGTTCTAGTAACAGCATATGGTCTTGTGATTTCACTGATTTGTTATGAAATATTTTTAAAGTGTATATGAGTATTACATTGAGTTAGAAATTTACGTTCCTGGATATGTAAGAACAGGCTCTTTGGATGTCCTCTCCTCAAGCTTTCTCTATGTGATCAATAAAAGTAAATTTTGGAAACAGTTGTTGAAAAACAATGTTTTGTCCAATTGTAAAACTGTCCAAAATAATCATAACTCTTAGAATTTAAAAGAAATGGTGCAAAAATGTATATGCATATGTGTATGTGTTTGTATGTGTACATACTGAGTTCAGTTTAAATGTATGAATGCATACATACACATGCATGTATGAAATCTCTGTATTGATAACAATAATATTTCACCAGAATCCATCCTAGAAATTTTGTCCATTTAAGTCGTACCGTTCCACTTTTAGAAAAGGTTGCCAAATTATTTGAATGTTTAAACTACTATACAACCAATTCCATTACTATTTAATAGAGGGGAAGATTTTTTTGAAAACTTCTCAAAAGAATATATTTGCCATATTAAGTAGAAGGTAGAAGAAAACTCAAGTGGAGCATCTGCAGCAGTAAGGAGTCAATGATTCTATGTGTTGAATGTTATTTAGGATTTGAGTTTCATAAAATTCCTGAAAAAAAAATACCTCTTAGAAATATGGTGTTAATTTGCACCAGTGTTCTGTAATGTAGATGTGGCATGTTTTCAAAAAGAAATGAATTGAGGTAAAGCAAAATTGTTATGAATTTTTATTTCAGTTTTACTCTCTGTTATGTATTAATTTCACACTTGCTATGTAAAATTGTAGACATAGAAGAAGTTGTTTAAGTTGTAAATATTTGTCTCCCATTTTTGTGTAATTGTTATCTTAGACTAGGTGGATGTGGCTATCTAGAAAGATAATCAAATGTCCTGAATATGACTCCTTCCCCGTTTGTTTGTAGGCAAGTTTTCTTAGTTTATAATCTATTAAATTTATGAAAAAACTAAATATTAAAATTCCTTTATTCAGTTTAGTGATATTTATGCATTTGCTCAGATGTTACTACTTAATGGAAAATCCTATGCATATTTTATTTTGTTTATTTTGATGTTGAGTTTGTGGTTATGTTTTAAACTGATTAGTGGATCATTTGGATGTAGCTCAGGTTTGTAAAGTAATTTTGTGTCTTACAATTTTAATGTTATTTGTTGGAATGCACATGTAATCATTTGAAAATGTATATCCTTTGAGATGTGCACATCTAGCTGTTATGGCTTATGTGCATGGAGATTGATAATTTATTATTTTAATAGATGCAGTTTTGTTTTCCCCACCAGATGGATTATTTTCATCCTATCAGAAAGAAGTGGCAAAACATAACATACTAAAGATAATGTAATTGAAAATGAATTAAAAACAAGGCACAAAATTCATTAATTTACAAACCTTTTCTTATAAGTACATGACCACAGAATGATTTTATATTTCTGGCATGCTGTGCATAAGTTGACATTGTAAGTATGTTGAATTATTGATGTATAAAATGTATAATAATTTTATGGTTTTTAATTTCATTGCAATTATGGTATTTACAAATATTGGATTATTTGTGCATTCTTCTATACATATTGTACTTAACTTCATTTCTTGTACATATATGATTCAGTATTATACCTACTAACTAGCCAAAAAATGAGACACAGATGATTGTGCGTAATGACTAAAAGCTAGATAGCCTTGGGGACAATTTTTCACTGAATTTTTAAAAGTATCAGAGTTTCTGTTGCTGAGGATGCTGTAGCTTCAGAGGAATGATGGTGTTGCATAGAGGAGTCACCTAAACTAGATAGCTTAAACCTTGATTTAGTATATTGAGAATCTTAATAAGGGAGAAAACATACTACTCATTATAAATACAAACATATTTAACCATTTCATGCCATGTGGTTTTTTTAATAGTTGGTAGGACATGTGTCTCTTCATTCCAAATGTACATTTTTTGAATGTCAATATGTTATATAAATACATGTTCCAAAAACATTTCGTTTGATTTCTTCCTCAACTTGCTTTTAAACTATGTTTTAATACAGATTAATTTAATTAGTATTCTGGAGCTGATATTTAATCTAAAATTTAAATTGTTTTACTGGAGTAAATCAAATGTTATTAAATGAAAGGTTTATCAGTAGATACACTCAAAATTATGAGAATCTATCAAAAAGCATTAATTAGTTCATTAACTATATAAATCAAACACAACATAATTTAATTTATTTTCATTACTTTTAACAAATGTGCATCTTAAATTATTTTTCATTAGAGTAGCGAGAAATTACTTATCTGCGTGCATGCTTATGAAATGGGATGCAGTAGATCAGTACTTGTAGATCTTGTGCATGGTCATTCAAATGCATTAATGTAGGCATGCCATTGTCTGCAGAAAGGAAATCAAATATACTCCGAAAATGAAAACCCAAATGCTTCAACTACAATAAATTGCGGCGTTTCATTCAATTAGCAAACTTTTGCTTGTAGTGTGCACGCTTTCAAATTCCGCGGTTATTTTATTGTCTGTTGTCTACCCTGCCCACCTGTTTGTGTTTCCTGTTCTCTCCACTTCTCTCAATTCCTGTTCATAACACGAAATTGGATTGTGATCATGGCAGATGATAGTGATATCAATGACAGGGGTGATGGAGAAGCTCAGAAACCTGAGAAAATGTTTACTCTGAAGAAATGGAATGCTGTGGCAATGTGGAGCTGGGATGTGGAGTGTGATACGTGCGCTATTTGCCGAGTTCAAGTAATGGGTAAGTCGTGGATAACCTCAACATGATAGTGTCAGACTTTATATCTAACATGGAATTTTTCAAATGATTTAACATGTTTAAATGTTTTACATGAATTTAATATTATGCAACGGAAGTGTGTAAGTTTACGTGATTGAATGACATGGTTGTCCGGACGTCAAAAATACCAACCAATCGTTAGTAACCCATTCATGACATTGTTAATTGTAGTACTGATTATTACTAATGACGGGGTCATTCTCAGGGATATTCGTAATGTCGTAGCTTTAAATTCAGTTATTTGTGTAAATATAATTAATAAATACACTCGGAACTGCTAGTTGCAATGAAATTGATAATGCCAAGAACTGCTCAAGATCTTGAGAATCAATCATTCCTATATGTATTTCATGCGCTGTGTACCAGAACTGCAGTGCCCTGCATTGTATCAAAAGCACTAAAGTTTTAAATATTTTGTGAGCTGTTATTATCCTTCTGATATTTACAAGTCAGAATTATTTACTTGGAAGCGTGAAACCCAGGCCTCAAAGGTGGAAGGTATGTACGCTAGTCACCATGCTCTGTGATCCCCCTCAGACTATTCAGCCCCTAAAGTTGTGCTACATTAGCATTATTGTATCAGAAAAGAGATCAGAGAACTATTTGTATACATTCGTTTATAATTCTGAACCTGGTCATAATATGTTTCTAAAGCATTTTGCTTTCAAGTTCCATGACCACTGAAAAAAAAAAAAGGTTCAAAAGTACAAGTTAATAGGAGTTTCAGTTGGGTCATTTGTTATAATTTGATATGATATTGCTTTACATTGTTGACAACTTTGACCGTGTGGTAATCCTGTGTGATTTTAATATAATTCAAATTTATTATATTTTTGTCCTGTTCTTCTCAAGGTCTTATCAAATTGGCCATATAGCAGATGTTTAAAACTCGGTGATCAATGTCAATATTGTTGATTATACAGGCATTTGTGAATGACATTGTGGGTATAACTGATCTGTTTTAATGTCTTTACCTCAACAAAATAGACAGACAAGGAGGGCTTTTCAATAGAAAGTTTTTTCACAGTACTGTTAACGTTTTGCACTTCAGTATAAACAGTAATTTTGTGCCATCCTTCTTTATAATTTTATTTCAAATCCAAATTGGTGATATGTGGAGAATTCCAACAGGTACTTTCTGTACATTTCCATTACCTTTCATCCTTCTCACTGTTAATATAATGTAACTAGCTAGACCACAAAAACTTCACATGTTTTGTAAATCATTGTTTTAAAAGTTGACTAGAACCCAACTGTAAGCAACGGCAAGCCCTGAATTGTGTTTTTAAGCATCTGGTTGATAACAGAGTAATATTACTAAGAATTGTTATTAAATTACAGAGAAAATCATTCAGTTCCTTTATTTTTATCATGAAAGATTATTTAGTCTTTTTTCTTCAATTTAATTTACATGGATTTTAGATTCCTGCACCTTTCTGACCAGCCATGCAATGGAGTGGCAGTGTCTCAAAGAACTAAATCTCCAAATGTAATAGAAATTTCAAAACTATTTCGTCGCGTAGAGTACTGATTAAGAAACCCTCTTGTCTCTGTCTTCCTTCACTCCCCCCCCCTCTTTCTCCCCGCGTACCACCCCCAAAACTCCAATCCGCACAGAACTCGCTTGTCCCCGCAACACTTCGGGAACCCAAAACGGAGTTGTACGGGCCTGGGGCATATCGTTTCCGAGATTTGCGGATTATACGTGTGTTGCAGTAATGTTTTACTTTATCGCTGTACTATGTTATTCGTAGTAAAGAGAAAGTGTAGTAATACTGCGGCGGAAATTGCTATTTTTGTGCAAAAATACCGTTATTGTAGGGCCCTAGAAATGAAGTGAAATAAATATTTTGCTATGCGGCGGTAATAAATGACTTTAACTGGCTAGTAAACCTTCGCCAGTAAGTAGTAAGAAGCCCTCCCGTAATGGGATCGCAACCGTATGGCCTGTAATGAGTTGACGTTGCATAGCCCACAAGACCACTCTCACCTCCTCGGGGTGGCCCCTGGTAATGCATCTCGGGGCACCTTGAGGTGCAGCCAAGAGGGTTGGACTCTCCGGCGCCTTAAAACAGGGGCCTCTAGCTAAGGGAAGGAAATCCCTGACAGAAAAACAATTTTTGGGATCCCATACCTCGAGAGAAGGGGGTCGAGGGGTCTTTAACCCAAAAACCCGTCGGGCTCCGCCGTGCTCGGAGCGACTGGCAGCGGACTCTTCACTAGAATTTCGCGCACTTGACGTAAAGCAGCTGTTCACTGTTTCATCCTATCGGGAGCTTGAACGCCCCAATAGTAGCGACATTTGAGGTTCCGATTGGGTGATATCGCATCAACTGATTTATGTCAAGTGCACGGGTAAATAAATTGTACTTATGCGGACGAAGCCTCAGTCGCAGTAGCGCATGCTAGCGCGCGCCGTGAACCGGCCACCATCACGTCTCGATATGATCTACTCGTTTATTGCTCTCAGAAGCTTTATAAAGCTCTACACACGATATGTCAATTACGATTTAGCAATTCAGTATTGCTGGTAGTAAATGGAGAAAAGGAACTTCTGGGTCCCGTGGGGAAGTCTGAGGAACCCAGGGGATCCTAAAATACCTAGGAATTACTTAGTTACCACGACTTTAAGTGGGAATATTTAATGTGTTTAATGCATATAGAAAATTGTGTAGTCAAAGTTCACGTTTTGTGGGTCCAAAAATTATACCGAAATATCAATTGACGGCAAAACGTTTGCCCGTCCGTCCGTCAGTCTCTTTGGGCAACGCTTGCGCCTAAACCAGGGGTGTCAGCTTTCAGTGCCTAAAGGGGCACAACACAAATCTTTAATATGGTTTTGGCCCAAATTTTCTACACTGTGGCGATCCACATCCGACTTTCCCGTATTTTTTATGTTGTAACTTCGCCTGGCTCCTCTGAAACGGAGAGCGGGGACGGAGCAAAGCGTAACTAAGGCCGCATCATGCACAACTCAGTGAAGCACGTTGGGATGGGTTTGCATCTCTGAAGTTATTAGCAAAAGTCATTCATTTAAACTTAACCTATTTTGATACGTTAAAGAGGGCGTTGACCACAGCATGGCCCGAGCGCCACGCGCACAATGTCCTACGCTAATGGATGAAAGGGACTTGCACTGTGACATAACATTTCGAGGGCCACAATAACTGACCGCCAGTTGGACAACTCTGGCCTAAACCGTTCACACGATTTTCTTCAAAATCGTTATTCTCCGATCTATCTGAACAAATCCAAGGATCTGCATGTTTGAAATGGATATTTTAATTTTCGTTTTTGAACAAAATATATTCTTAATTTAATATGTGGTTAACAACACCTACACCTGCCAATTGTGCAGTATAGAGAAAGTAATGCGGGAAAAATCAGCTTATTTCGGCAGTAAAATTCATATTGTCGAGCCCTAATAGCGGGCCCTGAAAAAGAAGATAAATACTGTTGCTAAATTTAGAAAAAAATCCTCTAACACGTAGTGTATCCGGGATCCATGTTTTGCGGGTCCTTGATACCGTAAAATCGATTGACGGCAAACGTGTGTCAGTCCGTGTCTGTCTGCCCGTGTCTGTCTGCCCGTCTGACTGCCAGTTAGTCCGTCCGTCCGTCCGTCCGTCCGTCCGTCCGTCCGTCCGTGAACACCATTTGTGTCTAAACCATATGTAGGATTTTTTCCAAAATGGATATTCCTCGGTCGATCTGGCTCAACTTGAAGCGCCGCGATTTTGGAAAACATTCTTTAAAACTTGGGGATACTTTACTTGAAGCCCCTTGGACATTTTCAAAATTTTCTCAAAAAGCTCCAAAATTTGTTTCCTTATATACTTATAAAGGCGGGATATGTCCCATTTCCACGGTTAACTCAGAAGTTTCGTTAATTGCATACGTTTAAAAATTTTTCGGAGTCTTCCTAAATCTACAAAATTGAAGATAGAAATTATCCCTTTAAATGAAATTTGTTCTCTATATTTAGTTATTTCAATAAGGTCACGTACATTCTTTTGAAACTTTTAGTTTTCGCGCAATATTGCGATCAATATGTGCAATTAAAAAAAATACAAATACAAGATTATCTAGAATTTGGGTACAATTTTTTTCTTTAATCTTTTTGTAGGGAAATTCGTTTGAATATTTCTCTGGCGCACATGCAACCATTAAGGAGCTTTGTTTTATTTATTTGTGTTTTATTTTTTACGTGAAAAACATAACTGTGTGTGACATTCTGTGGGGAGATTTGTATTCTGTAATCTTTTTCTCAAACTCTGGTATCCCTGCCCTAATATTGCCCATATAATATTGCCCACATGTTGATGCTGACTTCAAATGAAAATGAGCGTTTGTTGGATTAGTAATTAAAATTCGGGAAATTTTTCTTACACGTGAAAACGTATGGAGAGCAGTTAGCATTACATGTTCGGACTAGGAGCAACGTGTAATTCGTGCTAAACGAACTTATTTGGAGAATATTATAGTACTATAGTATGTATTGTATATTTTTCGATCTTCTTTCATATATTTTCCAACGCTATCAGTGTTAATGCGTTGTGAAATGTGCATGCCAAACGTCCGTTGTTGCTTTCAAGCAGCTCTGGCAACACAGCGCGGCAGCCGCTGGTGGGTCGCATTATTTAATAACTATTAATTATTTTACTTTCTCGCAAACTGTTTACGTAGAATATTGTAAGGCTAAAATGCGCATCGGATATGGTCATAAATACACCGGAAACCTTATACACTGAATTTGAATATCAGAAATATAGTTTCATTCAAGTGTTGAATAAAAAATCTATTTGTCACTCTATGTTTATTTATGCAATAATGAGATATTTGAAGTATAAGTAAAGCAGAAATTGTGACATAATATTACATAACGATAACATAATGTTACGAGGAAGTGTGCTTTTGTAGCACCTCTAGTTTAAAAAAATTGTTGATAAACTTTTTAAAGATTGATTTTTTAGAAACGATTTCATTTAAGACAAAAAATCTATCTTCAATATTGTACTTTTACCATGTTAATTTTTTGCAATTTTACGAAAATACGGAGAGTTTACTGGAACCATTCTTTTGAGAATTGCGGAATTATTTTAAATATCCTTTACGCTCTTTAAGGACAATTTTAATACAAACACTTGTAGTGTTTTTAAGAGAATTTTGAAAACGTTTATGCTTTGTGTAATATACCCCGAAAAATGTATCTTTTTCAAACTCATAGAGCTTCGCTTTCCTTTAAATCGATCAAGGAATATCAATTTTGAAAAATCGACTGAACGGTTTTAGCGCTAGTGCGGGCCATAGACAGATATATCTTGTGTCTCGAATCGATTTTTTTGGTATGAAAGATCTAGAAAACATGGATTCTGACTACACGTGATAGAGGAAGTAATGTGCTATATATAGGACTAAGATTTGTCCACATTTTCGTTAGCGGGACCCGGCAATAGCAGTTTTTCTGGCGAAAAATCTCTTTTTTTTCACGCAGCACTTACAATATTTTCTCTATATTGCGAAGGTGAGGAAGTAAAACAGATTCGAAATTAATTTTTCAGAATTACGTGCCATTAATTTAAATAAATGTTGCATTCCAACTGCAATTTCTGTTCTTTTGGGGCACTGTGTTGCTGCTAGGATAAACTAATGGTTAATGGATAATTGGGACGTGACGAAAAGGTTTAATGAAAAATTTGTACGGAGGCGCAAAGGATTCTCAGGCAAGGCGTGGACACATTAACATTGATATTATATTGGGAGAAAACAAAGCACTAATAGTATGCGCTACGTATGTTTTTATATATTGAGAGTACAATAATACTACCCTACAACAATAGGAATATATTTTATTTCTCGTGAAGAGAGAAGAAAAAGGGTCTGCTCTCATAAGTTATAATAATATTGTGCCTTGCATGTAAATTGTTTAAAAATATTAGGATGGAGTAAACATATGTACACATATTAAAAACAGCAATCCATATATTTTAAAATTATATTTGGGCACTACTTAAAGTATGTACAACGCAAAACACGCAATCTCATCTTCACTACTATTTAGCACTAATTTATATCACTCAAAACATTCTTTCTCACAATTATTAACAGATTATAAAAAGATAACAATTTTAGGAATGTAATGGCAATATTTTAAATACAATAAATATTGACTCAATTTCTCAAACATACAAAAGTTTACTTACATTAATTATTCTATCCTTTTCTAGACAATACGCAACTATTTGTACATTAAATAAATAGTAAAAAAGAAAATACATTTGGTATTGTGTGTGTAGTTGCGTTCGAATGAAGGGGAATGTTGTGCTGTAGCTCCCACCGCCTCCCGTGAAGACGGCGCGTTGCGCTGGCAGGGCAGTTTGGATGCGGTCGTTCATTCATTGAGCTTCGTCCGCGAGCTGTGTGCCCGGGATGCGTGATCTCACCGCCCGCCCCCACGAAAACACCGCAACATGGCCCCCTTCTCTTGAACGTCCTCTTACCGCAACTTCGTTTATCGGTGTGGAGCCTCTCAACTATGTTGAATTTGGTTGTTTTTTGTTGTTATTTTTTGTTACGGATTGGGAATTGAGGATAAGATTAATATCTTCAGATTATCAGATCTAACTCTTCCACATACTTCGGTATACCGATTCATCTCAAATCTAAAGGAAAAAATAAGACTTCGAGTCAGGTAATATTTTAACGAAACGAGGTTCGAGTAACCGAGAGATATAGGACGACGTTTACAAAAGTTCGACATTTAGAAAGCAGAATTTGACTGCTGGAACCACTATCTGTCGCTTCTCATCTAGTTACAAATGCGCATAATTATTTTGATGCAAATGTATGTGTACGTGGTGATGAGCTCTCCCTCTTTTCTCGTTCTCTGTCTCACTCTCTTCCTCTCCTTTTCTCTGTCTCTCTCGCAAAATATTTGGAGGAAAATAATCGCCGTACTGATAGAGCAGAACAGCCCAAATAATGGGTACTAATGGTTTCTTTAAAAGAGGTTCTTTAAAGAAGGAGGAGAGTAAAGAGAATTAGAGATATCGAGGAGCTCAAGGCCACAACGTTGAAGTGCACTCTTAACATGTATAGTGCTATTAGAGTTGAGGAGCACTGTCAGAAGCTGGTTCACATCTTGTGCTCGGTCTGCGAGCGAGTGATAGCTGGTTATCGGCAGCGCAACCGCAGTGGGAATCGGGACCAGCCCCTCCATGGTGTCTGTCTCAGTCTTTGCGTTCGCACCTGGCGAGACGGTATTTGCAGCACTACACGGCCATAGGCGTAGGTTTGATGTTCGTGATGGAGCTCATCCTCCGAACCTTGCCCTTGAAGTTCTTCTCGATGTCCTCGAGGCTCCTGCCCTGGGTTTCGGGCACGCAGAAGATAACGAAGAACAAGCTGATGAAGCAGACGACGCCGAACATCCAGAAGGCGCCGTACCCACCCAGCGCTTCCTCGAGGTCGTTGAACGTCTTCGTGACGAGGAAGGTGCACGCCCAGTTGAAAGCGGTGGCGAGCGAAGCAGCGGGGCCACGAATCTTGGCTGCAACAGGAAAAGCATTCGTGTTGACACTTGTTCCGAATAGTCAATATAATGTACTGTGAATACTCATTGCGACTATTTTGAACATCTGCATGGATTGAAACATGCATTTTGATACATTTTGCCCCCAGAGAAGTTAACCTAGTAGAAGAGGAAGTACGTTCTTGTTCCGTCTTTAATCGAGGTTGAGAGGTTGTCACCTGGAAAGATTTCGCCGAGCATGAGCCAGGGAATGGGCCCAAAGCCGAGGGAGAAGCCTATAACGAAGACGACGAAGCTGAGCAGCGGCAACCAGCCGTAGTCGGACACGTCCACTTGAATGGTGCGCAAGTAGAAGAAGGTGCCGAGCACGGCGAGGGAGACGGACATGGCGACGGCCGAGATGCCGAGCAGCACGCGCCGGCCCAGCCGGTCGATGAGCACCGTGGCCAGGAAGGTGGAGCCCAGATTCACGATGCCCACCACGATGGTGGAGAGATTCTCGTCGATGGTGCTGCCGGCGCCCTGCAATCGAGTACTTTCATTTAATGACGAATACTCCTAACACTTTAATGATGCTTTACAAGAATTTCAATGATTCTGCGTTTAAGCGGTAATTTTCTAATATTGCTATTATAAGTGTTATTTTAGAAACTAGTCAATCATGAATTTGCCTGTTTACTGAATGGTAATTGGAAAGCAAAATGTATTTTATTCATGATCTCAAAATTGATAAGCCCGTGAATAAAGTTTCTGAATTGTTTCTTCTTAAAATAATGTAATTCCACATATCTTCCACAACAATTTTGAAACTTGCTAGTGTAATTTTAAAGAAACTGCAAAACACATCGGCCTGACATAACAATCTGCGACGGCGCCGTTGCCTTTGAGTGCGTGTCTATGAAGTTCACTCACCTGGAAGATCTTGACCGTGTAAAAGATGACTGCGTTGATTCCACTGAGCTGCTGAAAGAACATGAGGCTGATGGAGATGAAGATGGGCTTGAGGTTGCCCTTGTTGAAGAGCTCGCCGATGGAGACGGGCGCGTTCTTGACCGCGTCGCGGTGGTTCTTCTCGATCTCCGACAGCTCCTCGCTCACGTCCACGTGCTGGCCGCCGCGCAGCCACTTGAGCGACTTCGAGGCCGCCTCGTGCTTCTCTGCGAAGGAAGAGGCGCCGGTTGCATCTCTTTGCAAGTCTAGTTTTGTCTGATGCAAAATATTCACGTACAAATATCCTTGCCATATGAAATATTGTGTTTACTGTGTACTGTCTGGTATTGCTAATACACATTAATCGCGTTCCAGAGAACATACAGTGTTTAATTGGAGTGTACAGTGTACGTTTGTACACTCTAGAAACACAACGATGTGTGTAGCATGTTTGTTACCTTTGGAGATGTACCATCGAGGAGTCTCCGGAATGAAGAGAGTGCAGAGGAGGAAGGGCACCGGAATCATGGCGCCGAAGAAAGCTAAGTTCGACCAATTGAGGTACTTGCCCGCCAGGAAGCAGACCAAGATTCCTGCACAAAACGGACAAAGTGAGAGATCCGGTTAACAAGGCCTTCGTGGAACTGTTACACCCAACTGGAAAATTTGTTGATCTTATTAATGTGACTTCTCATTAAATGCATACTTTAAACTCATTGAGTTCATAGCATATAACTTTCCTTTGAGTAATGTAGTGGTGGACCCTTATTATTCATTGAAAACACAAGACATGAGTAGATTATGGTAGTATAGTTATCGAGAGAAAAATTGTGACGTGTATTACGTTTGAATGATTTCAATGTACTTGAGACAATTTGTTAGATAAAGATGTGGTATAATTTTTGTTTCAGATTATAAAATACTTTTTTGTAAGTAAATATTGTGGACATTGCCAATGAAACTTTCTGTCGAGAGATTTATTTGTGAGCTTGTCGGAAGATTCAAGTTTATTATTCCTACTCGCTCATTGTTTCCTGGAAGCAGCATGGACAGTCAATGGAGCATTTCTGCCGGTGTGCTTGAGGGTAAGATGCTTACCGATGTTGCCTAGTGTTGTGGAGATGAGGCCAAGCATGCCTCGCACCTCGGGCTGAATGGTCTCGCCCATGTAGACGGGCAGGCACAGCGACGTGACGCCCACGCAGAAGCCAGCGACGACGCGGCCCGCGTACACCATGGGCACGGTAACCGCCATGCCGATCAGTAGCCAGGCTGCCAAGCACGTCATTGCTTTTCTTTTATACAACTCACACCAATAAATACTTAAAAGCTACGAATGAGCGTCATCTCCATAAGGTATATTGGTTGTACTTTCATCTGTATTGAATCATTTCATTTCAACAATAAATATACGGCAAGAAATGAAAATGTTTACATTGCTTTTTTATTTTACACGATTTAGCATGTTGCATCGCGAATGACATAAGTATTGCACATTCTATAAGAAGAGGGTGAATGAGAATACTTACACACAATGAAAGGTATGGCAGTGGCAAGTATTGTGGCCCTGCGACCTATCCATTCAATGAACAGGCCCCCCGCCATACCGCCAATGAGCGCGGAGAGCGGCATCAAGCTGCCAATCCACGAAGCCTGAGCGAAAAATAACAAATTACTCATGGCTATTTTGTATTGCAGTTAGAGTATTGGAAAAGTATTATCTCAGCTCCTTTGCCTTGTTTGAGGCATTTGACAATGTCGTGAGCAACCAATATTGGCTCACGACAAATGATCACATAATTGTGCACAAAACAACGTGTAAATTATATTGTCTATTGAATTATGTATTCCAGAAATCAACTTTGTAAGTTTGTAATAGATCGTGTAGAGGATTATCAATATAAAGTGCACTTGTGTGGAGGCCGTCATGTGACATATTGTGTTGAATGTGAAGCACAAATGGAAGGGAAACCCTGCGCCCGCCCCGCGCCCGCCCCGCGCTCCCTGACCTAGAAGCGCCCTCTCCCGGAGGCGGCGACGGCGACGGCGTCTGCGGGCGGACGTCATCGGTCGCCACTGCAACAGAGTCAATCGGCGCTGATCGGCACTCGATTGGCGCCGCGGGGCCACGAAGCCAAACGACGCCGCCCCGCCCCGCCCCCTCCGCCCCACGCAGACTGGGGGGGGGGGGGCGCTGGAAATGTACCCGCATCCCACGCGCCCGGTCGCAGGCTTTGAGGCGGCTGCTGAACATTTCACCGGTCTGTGCCCCTTAGAAATTGGGGAATAGGTTAAGGCTTGTGTGTCGTTTTCAGGCGATCATTGTATCAGCTGTACGGATTGTTTAATTACTTGCTCTTTCTTGGGAAATGTTCGCGGAAGTGGACAGTCTTCTGATACAACGTACGTCTGGGAAGGTAGGGACTTACGAAATGTCGAATCCAAAAACCAACTTTTTTATAATATAATGATACATGTACTGATGGTTATTGCAATTATTGTTTTAAGTTTCGAATTGAAAGTATACTGACATGAAAGAAAGTGAATGTATTTTACTGAACTTTATACATTGATCAAACGCGTTCAAAGAACTCGGCAGATATTTTGTGTGGTTTTTATACCTGCTGCGTTGTGACGAGAAGAGTGCTGTTGGGTAGCATCATGGAGACGAGCGCTGGTGACGTGTAGGCTGAGGAGAAACCCACAATCATGGATCCAATGGATACAGATACCGAAGCGAAAACCTGTAAAACAAGAAAAGTAAAAGTTCATTAGTATGTAATTACACATGCTACGTTGAATATGAGATGGAATTTCTGATTTGATGAACTCGTCGAGAGAGAAGTATTTACATAAGAAACTAACCAAAGTTTTGCCCGTGTGTGTGTGTGCTTATATTATTTGTAATGTTTAAATGAAAGAAACTTAATTTTTGAATAATATTAATTATTGAAGAATACCTTGTTATTTTTTATTATTGCTTTCTCTGAAGCAAACTATCGTATCTCCTCGTACAACCGTGTAGCGCGTACTTCTCTGCAGAATGCATTTGCAAAATGCAAGTTTTCGAGTGTTAGAGGATGCCCACGGAAGTGCATATATACATATATGCCAGTGACTCAATCGTCTTCGTCTCCCATTAGCATCAACGTTTGCACAGTGATGTAATAGCATTAGATAAAGGGTCGTTTATCTTCAACTGCGACGAACGGTGCAATTTTTTTTCGCAACTCGATTGAGCGACTGTTTGTTGTCCCTTGAAGCGCGTCCATTTATGGAGTAGGTCGTTCCCTCACATCTCCTCAATCGGATTACAATCGCCTTTTGTCACCCTGTTACCCTTTTCTCGTGGGCAGTTTTCGAGTTATGGCCGCCGATTGCCGCGCATTCTCTCCTCCCCTCCTTCTGCCTCCTCCTCCTCCTCCTCCTCCTCCTCTACATTATTCTCGTCCGCCACCTCCGACCCTCCGTCTCACGAGTCTTGAGGAGCTCCACTTGGCATTGAGTAGGCGGGCAGTTCACGCGACATATCTTGACCCTCGTACTAACCAACGGCAAAGATAGCCCGCACCGCTTTGCTGAATGGGAAGGGAATGTCTGCTTAAATGTGTGGTCAGAGAGTGATTTGCAAATTTTGGGAGAACGTCTCCTTAAACTTTCCCAAAACAACGCAATTTTTTAAAAATTCCCTTGAATAATTTGGGATTGTTATTAAACTTGAATACTTTACTCCTCTCAATCCTCATCGTTTTCGAACTTTAGAACTTTCTCTTCCTAAAACGTTGGGGTTTTCGCATTTTTTTATTTTCTCTGAAAGTATGTGGAGTTCTCAACGATGCCTACAAGAAGGAACTGGAGTAGTCTCTTATAGATGTTCATTTTTACTCAAGCAGATTACTTACCTAGTGTATAGAAAGTATTATAATACGGTGGCAAAAGGCGGCAAGTTTTTGACAGAAAAACTCGTATTGCGAAGACCTGAAATCTGGATAATTCTTATGCAGTAAATTATTTTCTGTCACGTTGTGTAGTCAGAATGTATATGCTGTAAGTCCTTGATAGATAAATTGGCGGACTGGTAAAACGTCTACACGTGATCATCACTAGTGCTTAAACCTTCCAATTTTCTTAAATCACCGTTCGCTCTGGACAAACTCGAGGCCCAGCGAATTTGAAACGGATGTTGTGAATCTTAATGACCGTGATCTTACCGTGATCTTAATGACGGTAGATTCCATTTTCTTCTCGTAAATAAAGCAGCTTTGGTGAGTACGTTTCGACGCTGTTAACAAAACAATCTTGCTTTTTTTAAAACTCATGATTAAATTAATTTTTGGCGAGCTGGTATTTGTGTTCGACAGGCTCCTCTTGGCGCAAGGTGCCATCTTCCATGCACAGGTACCTTTTTGGTGCACGGTGCCTGTGCACCACGGAATTCCGTACAGCAATTCTGCGATGTGTCGAAACCAGAGCTGGCCGCAATCGCGCGGGGCTTCGTCATTGCTTGACGTACTTAACTGAACCCGAAGTTGTTTTGGTTTTAGCGAAGCTAGTCCATGACCCGGGAGGTCGCAAATCCATCGCCCCGTCGTCCGAAGCGCGTGTACTACAACTCGGGAGACGTTACGTTGGTCGTCGGCGATAGCTGTCAGCTGGCGGCGCGTGTGTCGGGAGCGTATGGTGCAGGACGTGGTTGAACTTCGTATTCAAAGGCCTAATTGTGTGGATCGCGACCGAACGTCACGAAAATTTCTATTGTCATCAAAGTGAATGCTTTTGTTCTAATATTACGCAAATAAACTTTATTCAATGTGAAAAAATCCAAGATTGAATTGAAAAATATAGTTTGAAGATTAAGATCATGACTTGGCTGATGGAACTAACCGATTGTAGAAAAATTGATTACATCATCCTGATAGGGAGATGTAATTTTTGGTAGAATTAAATACGTTTGGGTAATTCAAAAATTTGTTTGAAGAGTGCGTTTTTTATTAGTGTTTAATTGTTTCAGGGACTGGTAAGTATATAATACAAATTACGTGAAGCTATTCGATTTTGCATTCGGCATAGTGCTGCATTCGTCTGTCAATGTGGTCAGCGTAGAGTCCGCAGGGTGGTTACCTGTGACCAGGAGAAGCTAGGCCGGTTATCGGCCACGCCCGTGATTTCCAGGTCGATGTGCGTGTCCGCACGCATCAGCATCTTGACCATGGTGTCGTCTGGCTTGTCGGCGTCGCTCTTGGGGGAGGATCGGCTCTTCTTGCCGCGGAGGCTGTTCAATGCCTTCTTGATAAATTTTAAGCACATAAGAAGGCAGGGCAGACTTGCGAGAAGAATCCGACCGCGCGGCACGAAAGGCGTCGCCGAAGCGCAGCGTTGGCGGAGTGGACGGCGACGAGCGCGAACACCTCGTGGCGCGATGTGATGTGATGCGCGGCGCGGCGCCGCCGTTTTATATAGCGATCGCCGACCGACCTCTGGGGTACACCCCGGCCTGCGAGGTCGCATCTCGTCCCGCTCCTCTCCGCCCCGCCCCGCCCCGCGCCGCTGCGCGCCGCCCCTCTCGGTACAGCTGCGGGCCGCCCCTCTCCTCTGCCGACACACAATGAAGACGACGCGAAGACGTCGCGCGCCGCCCCGCCCCGCCCCGCCCCGCCCAAACATGCGATTTCTTGCATGCCACGCAGGCACGGGGATCGGCAGAGGAATTGTTTCTGTGCGAAAATACTACTTTCGTCGCAGCGTGCTTTCATACGGCTATTCCGAAAATATGGAAGAGGCTAGAGATATTCGGAAAGCGACTCTCGAACATTTGATGTCACTAGTAGCTTTTTTTCGTCTCTGTGCGAGGTGTGCTTTTCCATTGTGAGCAATGGAACTCTTCTTCGTTTTTATTTGATAGAAGTATCTTTTATACCCATACGTAGTAATTTTCGTGACAAATTTATTCTGCAAATAAAAAAAAAGCAGAATTGGAAGTTTTTTGATCTGATGACCGCAATGCTGTCACTGCTAGTAATATTTTTAGATAAATACAGAGCATGTAAAGATGCTTGAGCACTTTCATATTTACCTTCCGATGTAAGCATAGTGATCTGAGAACTTGGTAATGAATTGTTCAAATTTGAGATTTTTGTTGAGGGATTTTGTAGAGGCATGTATCTATTGGTAAAGGCGTTTGATTGCACGTTCGAATTAGTTGTGTCCAAAACGTGAAATTTTTTTACTATTACTATTTCTCGAGATCGTAATGAAATCTCTCTATTTGAGAAAATCCTTTGAATTACATAATCGATCGTACAAAAAAATATGTTGGCAATGTTACATAGGACAAAATATGTCAATTTGTTGCGTGGAATTGCATTTCAGCTACCCTCGTTAGTCTTGCTAAACGTCACAAGAAAATGTCATCACTTGCCTCCATCACTGTTAAACGGATGAGATTCCGCTCCTTCCCTGCAGCCCGTGCCGCGGGGCGGCGTGCGGAGCCGGCCGGAAGGCACCTGGCGCGCGAGGGCGTTGGGGCCGCGGGTCACGAGGCGTCCGTCGCTCGCCCGCCGCCGAAGGGGCGGCGCTGACGCAGGCAGACTCCCAGTCATTTGCTTCAATGGAGGCGACTCGCGTCGCACGAGACGGAGATTTGCGCATCAGTTTGTTCGCGCGGAGGAGGCTTACACTTGGGGAGAAAGGGACTTGTGATTTATAAATGACTCTCGTTCACCTTTTCTTACTATTTTCCTTTTATGTATTACATTGACATTTAAAGCAGTGGCATTCTGTGGCAGTGGTATTAATTGTAATGGTATTCTGTAAGCTTTATTTCGATCAAAGAAGCACCCAGGGTTTTTTCTTGAGGGAGAGGGATGTAAGTTTAATATCCAGCTGACTTGATTTTTCGATATCAAGTATTGTTCATATATATATATATATATATATATTATATATATATATATATAATATATATATATATATTTGTGGCGTTATGGATAGTGCAACCCCATAACACCACCGTCTCATGTGTGAACACTACGGAAGCAGAGAGGATAACAGACGCGTAAGACAGAGGTACTTAAACGCGCCGCCTGGTATCCGTTGCCCGTACTAAACGAATGCGAACTAGCGAGCTATGTTTTCTTTGTGAAGGGTTGAAAGAGGGGAAGCAAACCCCCATCACGGAAAATTTCCCCAGGCGCCGCACCATAAATACGCGAACCCGCAAGCGGAAGCTCTTTTCTTGCCACCACGCGTCGAGTAAGCAACTGTTTCTTTGATCACCGTTCGCCGAGTCAACACTTTCGTTAAACATTAGTTTAGATAATTGTTGCCGCTGCAACGACTACTAGGTAGGAGTATTCGGCGTCGAACAGACGTTCTAGCTAGTCGTCCGCGAGATAGTGCAGATTAAGTAGTGTTTCTTCAATTAACAACACGGAAGTAAAATTACCCGTTGTGAGGAAAACATTAAAAGTTCTAGCTTGTAAAGTAGAAGTAGCAACGAGCGAGGAACTTGCACGAGTATTCGGTAAAGTGCAAGGGACGTTTTCGCAACGTGGGCGTAGTCAGAGGCGCCGGTAGCAGACGAGGAAAGAAGAAGAGGCCGAGGATCCAGGCACGTGAAGAAAGACGGAACGGTGGGAGGAAGACGGAAGAGGACGCAAGAGGCAACGCAGACGGCAGGGGCGAATCCCGTCTCTCTTACGACGCAAGCGCGACCGAACGGCGTCAGCGCAGCGACAGCGCACGACCATCAAGGCCAAAAGTCTACGAGGTAACAGTTAGGATCGCAGAAAATAGGTCAAGTTCACGTCGCAGGGAAAACTAGTATAGGAAAGTGTTAAGAATTTGAGGACACGGGTGGCAACAAAATCACAGTATTTCTAGTAGGAGACGGTTTTGATGCGCTATTGCCTAAAAAAACATTCTACTTAGGACATTTATTATTTCGCTATTTTCAGACACTGTTAAATTGTAAATTAGAGTAGTGCACTTGTACACATTTGTTCTTTACATGCAATATCTTGAAGCGAGAGATTGTAAATTGAATTTTGATTTGATGTGAAATGTTATTTGATAGCACAAATTTGAATATAATTAATTTTCCAAGGAATTCCAGTGTAGTTTAGGGTAATTATGTCAGAGTATCAATTTTGAAGTAAATTATGTGTTCATTCACATGAGTCTGTGTGTAAAGGTTTCTATTTGTGTTTTGATTATTCTTTGTAAAAGTGCGATTCTATATTCTGTTTTTTGTCATTAACTTATGCCACTAAAAGTTTATGGTAATTATACGCTCGTTGTGTGCAATATGTGTGATTTTATTGTGTCAAGGGTTCAAACTTCTCGCACCCTGAAGATCCTGCTCCCTAGATTTTTAAAGCTCGCTTCACGAGCAAAATCTTGACAACCTGCTTACGGTTCATGCGTGCTACTGTGAAGTGGTAAGTTGTGTGGGGTGTAGGTGGGTATGTTAGAATATATATATATAATATATATATATATATATATATAATATATGAGTAAACGCTCTATTTGTATATGTATCATTGCTAGATGGGAGTGGGAGGGTTGAAGTCCCGTAGGCCGTATTGGTAGATTTTCGATGTAAGTGAAAAAAATCTTATATTCTGGAAATTATTATCCATTTTCTTGCATCCTTTTGCGCAAACATATTGCTGACATTAGTACGTAGATAAAGGCTTTAAGTGTGGTGCATGGGTTAAAGGAATTGAGTTTTGGGTTGTTCTTGGAAGTCCGCAGAAGGCGTTGAGAGTGCGCCGCGAGTCGGAAGCGATTGCGCCAGCCGTGGCCCTGGCGAGCCGCGAGGCGCCGCACGTCAGCCGCCGCCGCCGGCGCACAGCGCGCCCTTTGAGGAGGCGGCGGCGGCGGCGGCCGGCGGCGGCGGCGCCGCGTGCGCGCACAAAGCCCGTGCGCAGGCGGCGCCCCGTCGCGTGCCTCGACGCGGCGCTTCCTGGTGGTGGGGCGCGAGTCTTCGGCGCCCGCGCCGCCCGCCGCTGCCCGCCGCTCCCGGCCGCCCGGCCACTCTTTACGCCAAATAACACCTTTGCTATTTGCTGTCGATGCGTTGACTTTGACGTCGGTCGCTACAATCAGTGAGGAAATTGACTTTGTGATGGAATTGTCGAAGCGTGCATTGTGAGGATAGTGATGTCGATGTTCGTTGAAAGAAGGACTTTTGCTTTACCTGTACCTTGGATTGTAGCTTCGATATGATTCTAGTGAAAGCTGCTTGGTCCAGCGAACGTTATGAAATGATACGGTGCTCATTCTCCGTAAGTACGATTTTTTAGAAGTGTGGTGTGCTATAGTTATGGTTTGCTATGTAGTGTTCGGTGTTGAGTACACTATATAATATAGATGTTAACTAATATTTATGCACAGACTGGAACTTCAGAGGATTGCAAGTGTGCACGTTCTCTTTGAGTTTTTAGATCTTTCGTGAATACATATATTGTATGTATTTTAATTCTTGTTACTTTAAATCAAGGTAAATATTCGGATGTTTTTCGGATGTCTGCTATCTTTTGTTAATATATCTTTGACAAACGAAATGTTGCCTTTCCTTTGGGCTTCGGGTGATCGTGCGTGCATATTCCCAGCGGTGCACGTGGCACAATGTTCTTGCGTGTGACCTCGAGCTCGGGGGCTCCACGTGCTAGGCGCTCTTCGTGGAAGCGGCGAAACGCAGAGCTTTTGCTTTTCGTTACAGAAGCAGTCACATCGTCAGTTTTTCATGTGCCAGTAGGATGTATCCTTGTGTGCTTCTAATGATTTTACTTCGAATTTCTATGTATGGATCTGGATATACATGGATATTGAGTTACATCCCTGTAAAACAATTTGCTAGTGAATGAAGATTCGAAGACGTTTTCGATTGCGAATGCACTGCTGAAAATGTAATTTGAAAAAGAAACTCGTGTCAGATTTGTTGCAATAGAGTTATCTACTAAATCAATTGTGCAGATTGATATAAAAAAAACATTTTTACTTTTTCATTTGAATTTTGAACATTTCACTAGCAAAGTGAATATGTAATTCTTCTCAATGGCAAGGAATCCAAATAGTCATTTCGAGAATCTTTACATTTTGAACATTATTAATAGACTACACAGTTTTATTTTTAAGTTATCAGAAGGCCTACTTATAACTGCTTCGAGGCAAGAACATTTTTTGACGAGAATGTGAAAGAGTATGGTGTACTAGATATGATCACGTCCAGGCCTGTGGAGCTCCAACATGACCAAAAGATCGCCAAGAGTATTACGTCGTACAGGCATTTTCAGCCTCGTCTTTCTTTCCAAATAAGTTCACGGCGGGTTTTGGGATTACGTGTAGTCACGGCATTCATTCCATTTTTGTTGTATTTTGTGCGAAGAGACATTTGGAAGTTCGCTTCGGGTCTCTCGCCAACATTGTTGTGATTCCTTGAAGAGTCAGAAAGTGAAAAATATTCAAATTCAATTTGCTTTAAATTTTCCGCGCGTTTTGTTACCAAAGAGTGTAATATTGATCAAGTGGAAATCTCATTTCAAGTAATAATAATGCAAAATGTGTTAAAGAGAAATTTGATGCCCGATATTATTTTCTGGTTAAATATGTTTTCAATATTCCCTTTTTCTGTGGCCTCTTTTTGTTTAATAATTTACAAATAATAAACCTTAGTGTCGATTTACGTATAAGAATTGTTAATGTGAAACTGCTTATCGATGTAAAATGCTGTTATTCAGCATTTCAACGAGTGAATGGAGATGTTAAACATTAAATTATTATTAAAATGTAACTTGAAATGCTAAACTATTTGCATCTTTTTTGGACGAATGCTTCAATGAATCGACGCACATTTTTTTAAAAAAATGCTCTGCCAAGATTTATTCAGATTAAAAATATTTATCAGTTGCACACATTATTCGACCGGCCAAAAAATATATATTCAATGTAATCATACTGTGATTGATTCAGAAAATGTGGTGAAAATAAGTGTGTTTATGGACTGAAAATTTAATTCTGAGACCCCTGAGACATTGTTAAGCCTGTCATTTGCGCCATGTCTTTATACCGAATAATTTTGCTATTGAAATATGAAGACGAGCTTTACGTGGAAGTATAAAGTGCACTTTTGATGAGTTCACTGACGCGTCGTCCATTGAGCAATTCGTCGCCCAGCAGAGGCTGTCTTTGTCTCGGCTACTCACCTGGAAGGCGATGCCCCGCAGCGGCCGGCGCCCGTCGGCCTTGGGCGTCTTGCAGGGCGCGGGCTTGATGGGCGTGACGTCGTCGAAGGCGGAGAGGTCGGGCCCTGCGCCGCCCCCGCATTGGCCAGCGGCCGCCGTCTTCTCCCCGCTGGCCAGCAACACGTTGGCCTGCAACTGCGCCTCCGGAGACATGGCCTCTCCCGGGGCGTACTTGCGCAGTTTCTCTTGCGCGGCGGCGGCGGCCGCTGGGGCGGGGGTGGACGCGCGCCCGGCGCCCGACACCACGCTCACCCGGCTGCTCAGCTGCGCCAGCAGCGAGTCCTCTGACGCCCCCTGCGCAGAAGGACACACTCGCGTTAGAGGAGGACAATTCACCTCCAAACGATTGCTCAGCCCATACGAGTACTTTCCATCTATGTCCTTGTCATGATTTTGTTTAGGCACAAGGGTGGATAACGTATAGAATGTCGATTCCTAATATTCATCAAATTGTATCCGTCGTGTTGTGGATATAGTGTAAAAGTACTCATTAAGATATTTTTGAAATGCTTCTTTAATTTCTTAACTTCGAGAAAAGTCGCATTACCAGCATTGTTGTTTCGTCTTGAAAGGACGTTCCAGATTTAAGAGGCTATTGTAAGAAGATTGCATTAGTTTGCGAGTGATACAAGAAGCTTTCGTACATAATTATGCCCAAACTTGAACTCTTGACATCGTAGTTTGGCCTACGAGTGCCCCTGTCAGGACAGTTAGGCAATCCCTCTCAGCAGAGGTGCGGTATGGGTTGCCTACTCGCGAGGCGCGTTTTAAATGGTAATTTTCTAGTGGCTACCAAATAATATGCGATGTCCTCTTGCATTTTATGTAAAATGTACTTATAACACCCATTAATGTACAACATATGGAATCGAAGAAGTAACCTGAAATGGCGTAAAATTGCACAGTTATGCGTTTTATATGATTTTAAAAATGCTTTACTTTTTAACTTTGTGTGAGTAATCCTAAACGGTTGCTAATAAAATTAGGCGACCTAACTCGCGTTAAAAACACCACAATTACCGCAGCTGTACGTGCTTCCCGGCTTGTCGCGGGAGAAAGCTGCAACATTGCAAGAACGTAAATTTCCTTTTTGCGGACTTCTAACACTTGTCCATTTTAAGTGGAAAGTTTGCTTAAATTGTAACTGAACATATTAAAAGCAGATTGTTTGAATGAAGATAAAGATTTAAAAACCTGCCATCTTGACTCGTGAATATGTACAGAATTGTAATAATAAAAATATGACCTATTTCAATGCAACTGTGTATTGCAGGTCGGGACTGATTTCTATTTTTCTGAACCAACTAAAATTAGAGATGAATGTGTATTTTCAAAATGTATTTATGTTACATGTGTCATCTTTAAATTATATTTTCTTGGTCTATTAGAATAGTATTCTAAAACATGTCATATAAGAAGAGGATATAGCAAACATGATTCATCATTTCTTTTTCTAACTGACCGCGAGATAGTTCTCGAAGTAGATAACGAAAATGGGTATTTTCGTTAGACTAACGGATGATAATAACTCAGGGTTATTATTTCAACCAAAAATAGCAATTTCGTGCTTATAAAAACGTATTCTTTAAATTTTAATGTGTACTAATGTACCTTCTATTACTCCCAGATGTTTTGAGTCATAGTGACGCAGTGACGACACCTATAGATGTCTGCCACGCACAATAATCTGTGTTCAATTAAAGAGTCGTAAAGATACGTGTTCCGTTCGGATAGTGAATACAATGGTCAGGAGCTTGGGACCTTACGCTCGACGGGTGATAAATGAGCTGTTTGTGCCACAACACGTGCGTGAGTATCGGTCCTAACGTTATGTTTTAGATTTCATTATCCGATTGTATAGGTATGGGGAGGTATTGGACGAGATTTCGTTCAGGAAGCTTTAGCCCAGGAACTACGCGGTCTGTTGCGGAGACTTGCACGAGAGAGCGAGTCGGAGTGACCAATAACCGTGCGAATTGCACAAAACCTTGACTGCATTGCCGTGCAGAACAAGAAATGCCCTAATTATATTTTTGGGTTATGGTTGATCGGTGTATTGAAGTTGCATATCGTGTTTCTAAGATGTTTTTCTCGGTTAAAATAAGAGAAAAATACTTGCAAAAGTGTCGTATATGTGCAGAGTTTATTGATCTGAATCCATCTACGTAAGTCATTGAAATGTGTAAAATGCAACATATCAGAGTTTCTTTAGAGAAGTTGTGTTTATCATTTTACTCTCTTCATAAATATCCATCCTTTTTATATTTTCTGTCAGCAGCCACTAATATATTTGTGAATTTATGTGTTTTATTCAGCAGCGGATTTCCCAATTTGTTCGGTACTGTTAATACGTTAGAAAAATCTGTTTTCTATTTGGCTATTTCTAGTAATAATGGCGCATTAATTTTCGGCACCATATGTTGTATATTTTCATGCGTTGTTCAGTTATAGAATCCTTATAAAAAAGATCGAATAATCACTTCAAGTTAACGATACGTAAAATTTGAGATTTTTGAGGGGGTAAAAAAAAATGTTTTGATCCCACTTTGCCGTCATATTGTGTTCGGCAAGGGGCCAAAAAATCTCGCGAAGAAAAAGACGTGCGCAGACCAGGTGGACATACCTAGAGCAGCGGGCACGTCGCGTGCGGGAGCGCTGGTAGACGCGAGCTAGAGCGGTTCCCTCACTGGCGTGGAGTGGCCGGCCACCACCTGCTGCAAGTGCTGCTGCTGCGGCGGCGACGCGGCGGCTGCGGTCGTGTGCGGCGCGCGCGTCCCGTTCCCTCGCACTCTGCCCCCGTGGGACGGCCGGACCGGCATTTTGGAGAAAGCCCCCCCCGGCGGAGGCGGAGGCGGTGGCGGTGGCGGAGGCGGTGGCGGCGGCGAAGCGCGACGCCCGCGGCCACCGCGAGATAACCTCTGCTGCGGGCTCACCCGCGCGCCACACGCGACACAGCAGCCCCCCGCCCCCGCTCATGACGCCAGCGCCGGCTCCTCCCCCGCCGGCGCCGCCTCGGGGGAAGGGCCGCTTGCGATGACCGACCCAAGGCGGGGAAGGCGGTTGCGGAGGAGACGGTGCCCCACCCCGTACGCAGAGGGGCTAGGGTGCGAGTGGAGACGGAGGCAAGGAAGGTCAGTCGTGGCACTGAGAAAGTGCGTGGCAATGGGGAAGGTGGGGGTGGTGGAATTACGCACGTCAGAGCGGCGCCACGTGACTCGCGCCAACGCTTCCCCTTCTCGCCTTCCCGCCCTTCCCAGTGCGCCTTCTCATTTACGCCTGCGCTCGTTCTGGGCCGGACTCACCCCGTGCTCCTCTACAGCGCCCCGGTTGAAGGTCACCGTTTGAAGTTGTTACAGGAGATACCTTTTCTCCTCAGAACTCATTATTTTAAAATATAAATTGACCAACTTAGCAAAGACGTATATGTTTTAACATGTCGGTTTAATTTTAGTTTTTGCTTGATTAGTGAACTTTGTTCTGACACGGAACAAAGTGTATTCACTGGAATATTATACCATAAGACGATTCTTTAACGAATAGCGATTGCAGCGACCGCCGCCTCAAACATTCCTCTCTTCCTACAAACTCGAAAGAAGCTTCTGTTATGGGCTGTAAATGACTCGCCGTATCACCTGACGTGCTCCTCCCCGGGCGGCGACCTGTCGCCGGTGTTCTCGGGCTGATACCGCTGGCCGCGTCAGAACCGCGGGCGCACGCGTTTTGCAAGCCACCCACGGCCACGCCACGGCAACAGGTTGCGCCCTCCCCCAGCGGCTGCCTTCGTCCAGTTTCTTTCAAAAGCTGCTGTCGGGAAAGGATTGGCGTGAACGGAACACCCCTTCAACTACAGTTATACCTGCACTAGTATTTTGTTATTCATATTCAAGAAAAAAATCCATTTTAAAGGGGATCAGACTAAGCCTCTTGAGAATAAAATGTCATCCCTGCCTTCTGTATCTGCACTAGCTCCTTCGTCTTTCTTCCCCGTGCGCGTCGTTTCGCCTTGTTTGAACTATCGTCGAATCATCGCCGAGCGCCGGACCTTCGGCGTCCGCCTCCGTCGCCTCCGCTGCTCGCGGCGCCCCCTCCCCCCCCCCTCCGCCTCCCAAGGCCAACGGGCTGAGCTGGGCGCGCGCGGATGCTGAGCAGAGGCGGCGGCAAAATAAGCGCCATCAGCACCGCCCGCGTGCCTGCACCGAGCACAGACGCCGGTTGAGTGGAAGTCCCTAAGCCCGTTGCGGAGACTGCCGTTCTTCGGGAAATGTGGAAATATACTTTTAAAAAATAATAATATAAAGGCTAATCTGAATCAAAACACCAGCTCTAAATTACGTACTTATATATATATATATATATATATATATATATATATATATATATAAAATCCTAAAGGAATGCGTTCCGAGAGGATAATTGTTTACATTGCATTGATAATCCTGTCACCACGCGAGAAATATTTTTGTGTAAGGAACACATTCCGCACCTTTGCATAGCTACATCACATCATTTTAACATTTACTTTTAAATTTTCTAAAATAATATTTTATCGGGTTTTTAAACTTACATAAATCATCAGTCTGCTGACTACAACAATCGTCTTTTTGTGATAGATAGTTTCCCGTCAATTGGTGTATAATCACTTAAAACCTGCTTGCGTTTTGTAATTTAACAACATATTTTGAAGAGCCAGTGTTCTAATAATTCCCATACAGAATATCCATGTGAGCATATAGTCATTGCAAATAGGAACCAATTTGCGTTGGGCGAATTGCTTTGCCTGCACGCTATTCCTTGCTCTAAAATACGCGCTTGTATCACTTGCACCTTGGTCACAGGCGCAAACTCCCGAGGACAAGCGGCAGGCGCACATGAAGACGCTCTTTGCAGAATTCGGCGTCGCGAGTTCGAGAGCGATGCTGTCGTGAGACTAGCGAGGCGCAATGGCAGATGGGAAGAAATCAAGATTTTGTTACTATTTTCGGTTTGCTTTCTCATATCCAATTCCTTCATACATTGGCATTTGCGTTGTAGTATTATTGCTAAATGAAAGGAAGAGAAGGTTCGTAGTAGAAGCAGCCTTAGCTTCTCGGACAGAGCTGACTTACAGAGCAAATGTACATCCGCTTGGCGTTCAAGCCAGCGAGATTGGACCGCGATAGGAGTTGAACTACGTGACGAAATGATTAACTCTTCTTACGTCTGGCATATTCTTGTAGAAGTGTATTGATTGTGACAGTCTCTGATTAGTTTTTTGTTGTGTGTTTTGTATTAATCCTGTTAACGCGAGGAATGTC